ATCCTCTTGTTCTATGGACTGCTCGTCCGTCAGTATGTTGTCTCTCATATCTACTCCCAGTACATCACGCCTAGTTGGTCTTACATCCAGAACATTGGCGCATACAAACAATAGTACCACTCAGAATTGGCTGGATCTCGGAGCCGCCCGTATCTCGTACCTCCGGATTTTGAGTCACGTCCCCCAAGACGCCGTGCATCCGTTACTGATGCGTCACGTCTCTTAACAGGCAGGCCTCGCGAGTGCACGCTGACCATCGCCAACCGCCGCAACGCGTGTGCTTGCATTAGGAGTATATCTCTTTCAGAAGCCGTCGGTCTCCTTGAGCCTAGCTATATATAAAAATGCCGCAAGGCGCTATATCAAGTAGCCTAAGGCGGACTACCGCTGGAGTTTCACGATATAATTCATTTATGCCTCCCATCTCGGCGACTCTAGCGCATAACGGGGACGTGGCACAAGTCGCGCGTACTCCACAATTTCAGAGAGGCTTACTCATAAACATCGTCGCGGATATCGGACTCTCAGACTGCAATTGAGAGCACCCTCAGGTGTATGACGATGGTGTTGAAAAATGACAACCCGCTTCGCAAAATGTGCGGGCTGAGACATCGCGCAAGGCTCACAGAGTTGTCCGGCTAGTGAACGCAAATCTTGGGTGCTCTCGCGAAGCTGCTGTTATGGAGCAAGCTCCTTCTATTGGACAAGGAGGTGCGCGCGACGACCGCGAGTGCGATTGTGCGCGTCCTGTTGGTCATGAGACGTGACGAAGTTGTAACGAATGCACGGCGTCTTGGGGGACGTGACTCAGAATCCGGAGGTACGAGATACGGGCGGCTCCGAGATCCAGCCAATTCTGAGCGGTACTAATGCATAACACTTGTAATGCAAGTACAAGTGCCTAATTACTTTACAATCACCTTTGTTCGCATTTTTGGCGGTATATACGTTGATCAGGGTGAGTGACAACAAATTCAGGCAATATTCGTGGCAGCTTCAGTGGCATTGGCACTTTGCCCACATTTCCGTACAAGAGTCGGCACCCCACCTTGTTGCGTAGGAGTCGGAATATAGCTTAGACAATCCCGGTAAACCACCCAAACAATCTAACATACAAATCATTGTGGACTACAGCTGAGGGAAGCGAAGTCGCTAGGATGCACAGGGAACTGGAAGAAGGCCTCCATCTAATGCTCTTGAGCACTCGCAGATAGCTCTGAAGTTGATCCTTTGCCGTACAGCTCAAGAAGCCCAGCAAGCTCTTTGTACAGCGTAGCAGCCAGTTCAAGCTTTTCGGGTAGAAACTGTCATTATCGCATGATCGTGAGCATGAATGTACTCCAAAACAATCCTCGCATGTGTTGACAGCCCTTACCTGAGTTATCGGGGCGTCGGGACCCACAGTAAGTTCCAAGTAAGTCTTGAGATGCTGCATGTCTCCACGGATCTGCGAAATATTCAATGAACCATTCACGGGGTCCCTTCTGTGAGTTACCTTCTGCCAGATGTCCGCAATGATGTCGACTTGTTCACGAAGCTGCTTGACATCTTCCTTGGTTTTCTCTAGGTTGGTTAACTTCTTTAGAACGTCGTTCTCTGACATCAGCATCTCCTTCTTCGATTCCCACTCTTTGGCCTCGTCCCTGACACCTACGATCCCTATATCAGCGGTGCTTCGATATAGCATATCGGTGAAGACATACACGATCTCTCCCTTATAATTTTGAAGTATTCTACGCTAGACCCCGCCGCAGCAAACATAGATGTCTGTGAGTAAAGTATCATATCAGAAATTGGAGACATAGGAGGTGAATGGAACTTCAAACCACAGCCGTCACCACAGCAGCAGGAGATAGAGTGAGCACTGCGAATCCGACAGCGACCGCCCCCACGGACAGCGAAGACATGCATGCCAGACCTGTCTTTCTTGCCTGAATTGGAACCAATCGGCTCTCAATGTGTATTGCAGTACTTCTGCAAGTCGGACACACCTGTTGTGACAAGCTTTGACAATATGCGATTAGTGAAGTGTACAATCGTTAAAGAGGTTCACCTACTCCTGCACCTGCAGACTGAGTTTGTTGCAGTGGGCCTTCGCTTCAGTCAGCTCCGCAGTGACACTTCCTGTGACATCCTCCACCGTGTCATCGATATCGCTACAAAAGTCGCCAAGGTCATCAGCGAGTGCACTAAAGCCGCTCTTGTTCTCGAGGGCGCCAGCTTCATGCTTGTCCAAGGTCTGTGATTAAGATTGAAAGATCAGTATGAAGCTAAGCCCCATTTTGCAGACCGCAGGCACCTCTAATAGGCTTTGTAGTTCCACTCGAAGCGATTCGTATCTCGATTCGTCGGTCTTTGTGAGGAGTCCAGTGCTATACACTATACGCCGCGTGAATATTGCTGTCATGGTTGCATAAGTTATGGAGCTTACTCTGCAAGAATCCCGCAGCCTTGACGGCGTCTTCATGGCTTTTGTCCATCAAAACATTGAATCGCTTTGAGAACCGTTAGATTGCACACAAGCGAGTAGACTACTGGTATAGCAACGTTACCTTCTGAAGTTCTTTCCACTGCTGAGAAAGCTCGTGCTTGTTCTCCCTCCTAACGTGTTCCCTTTCAAAGCGCCGGAGGTCTTCATACACCTGTCGGAAACCATACTTGATAATCGAAACCTTCTCCCTCAAGTTGAGGAGCTCTCCATGCACATGCTTCTTGACGGCAGGCGAACTGATGACCTCGTTGAATTGCTTGAGCTCTTTGTTCTCGGCCTGGATGCTGAGCGTCCCATAACTGAAGTCGTCCTTTGCAGCAATGGTCTCGATCGGAGAGGTGGGAGACATGCTGATATCCAGAGGTTAGAGAGAAGACCAGACGATGTCGATGATCTCTTGCTCGAATGTGCTCTTATCTACTACTGGGGCACGTACGCCCCGGAACCTTCCATAACTCACTGACATTCCCGTAAGAGGCACCTCCGGAGAGCACTATTGGATGGAGCTCCCTCATCATATCATCAGATGTCCACAAGGTGCCGTACAGCAACGGTTGGTGGACATCTTGTGGATGAGTCAAACCACAGCGAGACAGGCTCATTCCCACCTCGTGTCAGATTGCGCCACAAAACCACAGAAGGATGACTACGTGGTGGCCAAAGCCACGTTCAGAGACACGTTCGTTTGCTACGTGAGTCAATATTCTCAAGGTGAAAGAAGGGAGCTCCTTAGTTTGTACAGCCCTACTGAGTATGGGAGGAACACGGTTGCAATACCGGACCACAGTGCCTATAAATTGTTTCATTACAGGGACGGGGGCAGCGCTACAGCAGTTAATGCGCAATGAATAGAAGTTATGTGCCGTAAACACGCACCACACGCACCTATATGAGCCACCATGCGTGATGAGGTGTTGTCCCGCGCACTCGGTCACCTCGTACCGAAACCTTTATATGGAAGTTGAAGCCCATCCTCATGATGTCGACTCATTAGAACCTTTCCGCCTGCTACCGATCTCTTCAATATAAGTGCCCAGAACTCAAGCCGTTCAGTTTTGGGTACACAGGCCCCTACCTGCAGGTAGACTCATTCTCCAACGTCACTATTACACATTCTCAACGATGGTATTTAGACTGCTACGGGTGCGCTATACTCCCTCAACACTACCAACACAATGTCCACCCAAGTCCTCCCCGAGTTGTCTCAAAACACCCGTATCCTGACCACATCCGCGAAAGAAACCCGTCGTGCGTTCGTTGACAATCAAGCGAAAGTCCGTCGCATTGATAATGCCGCACAAACTGCTTTTCTGGAGAGGTGGAAAGGGATCTACAACGTGCGTATTCCTGAAACATGCACATCTCCAAGTCTAAAGTCTCACATATATCAAAGGACTATCAGAGGCTCGTCGGAACGTCTGAGACAGGCGCAACCGAATTGGCTGCCACCATAAGACGTGAGTAGGCACGTTGTGAGGCAAACACGGTACTCATGAATGCACATCTGGTCAGATTATGTAACTGTACAGAGCAAGAGCCCCACCATCAATGACGACCTTATACAGGAACTCGGCACACTCAATAAGGTTTGTGACTGGCGGAATAGGATAGAATGTTGGGGCCCTGATGGATGCATGTCCGTCGTCGCAGAGACTGCCCTCCCTAGATTTGGACCAGACTACGAGTTTCACAGCGCTTCAAGCGAGCCTCACTACTCTCGGTGAGGACATCGCTACCGCCATGGATTCTGGAGATAGCGAGAATCAGTCTAGGCTGAGTGCAGTACATTCGGAGGTCATGACCCTGCAACGGCAGCTGCAAGAGTGCGTCCCATCAACTCTGAAACTCGCCAGACAATGGTGCGATTATGTCTCATCGTTTTTCCACACTACTAGCTTACAGAAGGTAAGACGTTCACTATACATTACCGCGACCCGCCTCACTTCGTGCTTGCAGTCGAGAAGAGATCAAGAAGAGCGAAAGAGGAAGACCACTACCTTTACGAGTCTCTTCACACGCTACCTGTCAGAACCTGGACAGAATACGCAGCAAGATAGAGGTATTCTCGCTGCATCCGAGGCAGCAATCAGGTTTAGAGCAGGGGGGATAAACAACCAGGAGAGACAGCTCCAAAGTAAGTGTCTTTCCAGAATCGAGGCACACATTAATGACCGGTAGGAGTGCACTCACTTAGGCGAGCTCGAGGTCGCTCGAGCAAGGCTCAATCAATCTGGACCTGCTGTTGACGATCGGACCCGCGAAGCAGCGGAGACCGCTTTGGCCGCTGTGCGTGGTATCCAGTCGAATCTAAAAACCATGAGAGAACACCTCAGAAGCATGTTCTCCGAAACGGTCGCAAAGGTATGTGTACCTCGGCTGACCGATGTGAGAACGTCATAACATGGAATTGATGTCACTACGTAGCTCTCCACCGAATTGCAGAATCACCTCTCTGCACTACAGAACTACAAAGCCAACCCATCCCAAGTAAGTTCATACCGGGTGAAAATTACGAGCGTACGTTGCAGACCCTGAGAACGTTCCCTACTAGGAGAATCAGCTGGCTCTCCGCAATGCCGAACAACGATTCACATCATCCACTATGACTTGGAAAGACAGAGCCACGATTCTGTCAGACGAGTATGCCACGGCAAGGAAGTAGACTTACTACGTACTAGAGCATGCAGACGTCCCGTCAGAGCTCATCCTGTTGTGTCGAGAGTACCAAATTCTTGTACTGGTTATTTGAGGACGACTGGGGTCTTATTCGATGTTGAGTGTTCATGAACGGTTTTTGATCTAGGGGATGGCACAGTAGAGGAAACGTTGTGCTTTAGGCGGCGAACGATGACTTGGATGTAAGCCCTAGCGGCGCCGGCCTGTCCGTTGGTCACGTGGCTAACAATGAACGAACCACGCTTTGCGAAACCGCAAAGCGCAACTTGCATGACACGCTTTGCGTGCAGCGATCTTGGGCCAACCCAACACTGCCAATTGTCATAGCCAAATGTGAGGTACGTAAGGGATTCAGAACTGAGTGTCATCCCCGGGCCTAGCGTGAGGCAGTGACTCGTTGTCATTCTCGTCATTCGCTAATTGACACAACCGCTAGAATTAGTGAGTATGCGAAGTAAACGGTCGCCTATCGCCACATCCTCAATCATAAAATGCGTCGGTGGGTCGCCATATCTTCGATGGCAACTGAGTAATGGTCCATGCGCCGCAGTGTCGAACTCCTTTTGATGCGCTATTTTCGTCACCTGTCTTTTCACGAAAAGCATGGCCATATACAATCCGTCTTCGTTCATCGTCCTGGACGCTATAAGCTCGATCTTTATATCGCAGCCATAGACATCCCGAGACCTCGTCCAACCAATTGCAGTTCTCGCGTCTGCGCCGGCCGATCGATACGAGCGAGCGACGCCGACGACGTCATATCGATCCCGCACCCTCAGCCCGCCCCTCGCGACAAATTTCCGGACCTTGCAATGTTGTACCAGGCCGTGCGCAAGGTACGTCAAAAATATCCATGGCGTCCACTGTCCACGAGCACCTTTTCCGCTGCCCTAGTCCGTGCGAGACCTGTTCGCGAACCAGGGCGAGCGGAATTTGGCCTGTCCTCGAGATCACTACTCCGGCCAGACGACTCCGAATAGACTGGAAACGTCGAGCTCCGTCCGTCCGCACTCGGACCTTCACCGCCAGCGCAAGGAGGAAGCCTCCCGAGCTTCTCTCGCACACACAATTGCAACGCACGAAATTTTCCTGGTTCCCCTGCACAAGTCACAGGTTGAGCCCGCAGCGCTACCTGAAAAAAACCTCAGGAATGATGACGCTGGTCGCACACGTTCCTCGGTCGTGATTATCGTCCATCGCGATCTCTCGTACATGACTCGCCGGTCAACGGCGATGTCGACGTCGATGCCGGGGAAGGAGGAGGAGGACCAGCCGAGCCGACCTCCGCGCGAGCTGCCGGCGCCCCTTGCGGTCCATCGGGCGTCGGCCGCAGCGTCGGCGACAAGCGGCAAGCACTCGTGAAGTCCCCAGACGCGCCAGCTCGCGCGTCGAGAAGCAGGAAGCGCCATGTATCAGTGCGCGTCCACGCCCCGCGCTCGCGCTCGTATGTACAGAGCGCTTCGCGCCCTCTTCAGCGACACGCCCTCCCGAGCGGACAGGTCGCAAGGAATGCGAAGGCGGACGACGCTTCCAGTACTGGGTCACAGCCGCCCCACGCCCGCCGCCGCGTCGCGGGAGGCACGCGCGCCCAGCTGCCTGATGACGATAGCGGCTCCTCGCGCCCCTCCCGCGCGCGAGCAGCTCTGCAAGGAAGTACTCTCGTCGCAAGGGGCCAGCGCGGGGAGGGCCCCAGCGGCCAATCGCGCCGCGCGCGTGCGTCTGGGAGATGGTCGGATGGCGCGTTGCGTCCTCAATACTACTAGGACTATCAATCCCGGTACTTACTGGTACTTACTAGCGATGCCGTCGCACGATGCGCATCAGAATCAGAACTGCTTACCACATGCCCGGCGGGCACACTGTCCCGTAGTCTGACACACCGGGGCGTGCATCACAATGTCAATCACCTCGAGGCGTGCGTGGAGACCGTCTACGGCTCCAAGTATACCTGCCCAATCGCTGTCGCACACGGCGCACCCAGTACATATCGTGCCAGAGGCAATAACACAACAATCGCATTGGAGCGTCGGGACGCGTGCATACAAGGGGGGGGGAGGACTGGTAGCGCGCGCGAGCTCGTGCAAGCGAGAGAAGTAGCGAGCGAGTGAGGGGGATGTCGGGGTCGTTAAGAGCACCGCGGGATGCTCGGTCAGTAAGTGATAGAAGAATTTACACCGAAATAGCGAGGGAGGTATGCGAGGGTATGTCGAACGTGTTGGGGTCGGGGGACATGGAGGAACGGACCGGAAGGCGTGGCGTGGCGAACGGGGGTGGGGAGCGAAGCGAGCGCACGATGGGGCGCTCTTAACCGAAAGACACGGGCGCGAGCACAGACGCAGACACAGAGCGGGCACGGACGCGGGCACGAACGTAAGGGTCGTCATGGATTGCGGGGGAATATGGGTAATGGTAATGCGTGAGGAACACGATGATGGGAGAGAAATTGCAAGGCGCGCGACGCGCAATAAAAAGAGAATTGCGGGAGAACAGAATGAACATGAACAACGATAGGAAGTCGTCAAATAGTGTGGTTGTGGTACAGTGGGAATAATGGCACTACGAGCGAGGTAGTAGTAGTCAAATCCAGTGAATTCTCTTCTCTTTTCGGTCCGTCACGATGCGGGAACACGCTGCGGCAGCTATACACAACACCAGCCGACGGCCATCGCCTCCAACGATGGGAAGGGTCCGGCTCAGCGGTGTGAAGGGGAGTATGGGGGGTGCGGACGGAACAACGAACGAACGAGACAGCCGTCCACGAGGCCAAGGCTAGAACCCACCAAGGCATCCCGAATCCTCCAGCCTGGCGTTCGCCTCGGCCAAGCTCTTGTACCGGGCTAGCCGCGCGGCCCGCTCCTGCTCCTTGCGCTCCCTGCTCCGTTCCCGATGATCCTTGCGGTCCCGGTCGTCGCGATGTCTACTCCTGCGCTCGCGCTCCGGGCTTGCCGGAACGCCCATGGCGGTGGACGGCGACGTGGGCATGTAGGTGGCGGTCGAGCTCGGGACGGGATATGAGGCTGCGGCCGTGTTTGAGCCGGGGACGGGTATTGATTGGGGACGGGGCTTGCGGCGGTGAGTGGGAGAGGAGGGAGAGCGGGGACGAACGGGAGAGGTCGGCCCGTAGGTGGAGCTACTTGGATTTGACAAGCTCGAAGGGGTGTAGTACTGAGAACTTGACGGGGAATGTGAGGGCGAGATGGAGGGGGAGGCGTGATGAGGGCGGACGCGGGGTGAGGGCGGGTGAGGGAGGAAGGAGAGGGCGGCGGTTGAGGGGGCGTTGGTGCCTGCGAGCGAGAGGTTGACGAACGACTGCTCGAGGGACATCTTGGCATACGCGGAGGAAGCTGTGGTGGAAGAGATTGAGCAACCGAGTAACCGAGATTCAGGCGGCAAGCGCGATAAGACGAATGGTTAGGGATGAAAAGAAGCTCACCGTGGTACAACTCGGGAGGAGGGCTGGCTATTCCGTCGCTCTCTTCTGAGGACTCGGAAGAGGAGAGGTCAGGAACGAGGGCGGGGAGAGGGTGGAAATTGTCGCGGGGGCTCTGCCTTGGGGTGGGGTCGTCGTCGTGGGGGCGTTCGTCGACGGCCCTAGGGTGTAGATGCTTTCCACGAACGGGGCTGAGGCTAGAACGCTTACTGCGACGGGGATTTGAGAGAGAGGGGTCCTCGGGAGCGTAGGTGCGGCCCGGGCAGCCACGGGCTGGGAGGGCACAGCGGTTGGGCTGGACGACGATGGGGGTCCTGTCGTAGGGGATGGCACTGCCGAGGGTGTGTGCGAGGGAGGGCTGAGGAGGAAAGCGTACGAGCGGGGAGAGGATGGAGGGGTCGATTGCGAGGAGGGTGGATGGCTCGTCCTGGGGGGAGGGGAGGGGATGGGGGGCGGAGGACCGCTTGAGACAGGGACGAGGGCAGGGGCTGTAGGAGGGAGGCATTGTGGTCGGTGTCGAGAGAAGGGTTGAGTGGGCAGAAAGGGCTGCTTGTAGCTGCCTGTAGCTGCCTGCGGATTGGCGGGAGCTGGTGCTAGCAGCGGAGGGCCATGGCAGGCGTATCTATATGGCAGCGAAAGAAAAGGACGAGAAGAGAGATGCGTCCCGGCGCCTGCTTTGTCTCTCGCCCAAACAAGGCAACCCAGGGCTCCGGGAGGCGCCTGTGCCACCCGGGCCAGGATTGCCTGATTGTGCCCGCTTCCTGGCAGTCGTCCGGACCCTCAGATCGCCGTCTCGCCGGCTTCCCAAAGCTTCAATACTTGCAGCAGATCAAGATCTCTCCTGCCTTCCTCCGGTCCATCCTCCGATTCCTACCATGCCCTCTCTCCCTCCGCCCTTCTCCCCGCCTCCTCCAGCCCGAGCGCGCACCGACTGACGGCGACCGACGCCCCGCCGCCGAGCCCTTGTCTACCGGCACCGCCATCATCCTGTGCGCGTCCCCCAGAGTGCCACTCCTCCCACCCATCAATGTGACATTCCCGGTCCTGTACTTCCTATCAATCCCATACCTATCCTTCTCTTCCCCGCGTCAGGTATGAAAACAATCGACTGTCGCTGAGATGCTAGTGCCAGCTTGGTCATCCCCTTTCTTCACCTCTTCCAACTCCGTCATTCCCGCCTCGAGGCGGCCCATACGCACCATTGACCACCTGACGCCGACCACCTCGCTCACGCCATTCGCCCATGGCCATCGATCGCCCGCTATCTCTCATTGCGCTCTTTCATTCCGACCCTCGCTTAACGCACTCTTTCAACAATGCTATCCGCCTCGCCGTCACCCTTTGCCAGAACTGGCATGCAACGTTGCGACGCTAACAGAGCTCCTTCTTTCCTCCCTTTCTGCTTTTCCCATCTTCCCCTCCTCGCGCCATCCCACACGCCTTTCTGCGCTCATCGTCGCCTCCCGTCTCTCATCGACATCTGGAAATCTGGTCTCGTCCTGACGCCCATCTCCTGCTGCAATCTTGCTCGCTCTCTGCGCTTACTTTCTAAAGCTTACCGCTCTCTCCCGAGCGCACTCCCCCACCTTCTCCCGCTAGACCGTCCAAACGGCGATCCCAAGACCCGTCCGCGACCGCAGCCAAACTTCGAGGCAACGCCGCGCGCGGCCTTCTAAGTACGCGTTTGCCTTTCTCGTCGCCCACGCCCGAATACCTGAGCCTCTCGCCCCGATCTGGAAACCTGCGTCCCGCACACTCGCCTCTTCCAGTCTCTCTGTGATACTCACCGTTGTATATCTCGACGTTTTCCCGTCGGCATCTCAATCGACAGCATCCGCAGACGCAAGTTCCTACCGATGCCGTACACGCGAGTCCATGCCCTGCTCAGCCGGGTCCCACGCGTATCTGTGTCTCTATCGCCGTGGCTATCGCGCTACTGGCACCTTCGAGCGCGTCCCAGCTCCTCCCATGTCGCTCTCGCTCACGCTTCGCGTGGCCGGTGATCTCACGCGCGAAGTTTGCGTTGCCCTCGCTATCTCCTTTGTGCTGCCCGATTGGCCTGCCGCCCGCCGGTGCCTTGCGAGCAATACGTCCGCGACACAAGCAGCTATCAGCCTCCACCCGGAGCTAGCTGCAGACTCGGTGGACGACGAGGTCTGCTGGTCTCCTGTCGGCACGTTCAGCTGATGTCATTCCCACAGGTTTGTCGTGCCCAGCGCACTTTTTTCCCGGAACATTGCGGACGAGGTGAACAGGAAGGGTGAAGGTGACGATAGCGCTAGCGCATCACAATCGCACTCGCCAATCTTTGCTCGCTCGCGCTCGCGCTCCTCGCATGCGCATTGTGTCGACGTCATCGCTCGCTCAGTACTAGCGTTCCGCAGATCACGGTAGTAGCGAACTCCAATTGGCCATGCCCTGCAGCGCGTCTTGTGAGCACCGAGGACGCGGTCGGCGAAATTGGGTGTGCTAAACATACGCTGTGTTCGTCGTATTCCTGTGTAGGTTCGTGCCCAATCCAGCTCCGTTTTCACATCCTCGCGTCCAAAGAGCAACCCACCATGCCAAAACGCCTCCGCGCATGTTCCGCCTCATCGATAGCTCTGAAACTCTCTTCAGTCCTGCGTGCTGCAGCCGGAGCATCAGGGCACTATCAAGCATCGACGCTCAGGCTATGGCTGTGGCTACTGCCTCGACCCGCCCCGCCCGGCTTCCCCTGTGCTGAATACAGATTCGCACACGCGATAGCGGCGATCCTGGTCCATCACGCACGGCTCGCGGCTGGTCCTCGGTGGTCCCAACCTCGTGTGTGTATCCTCCACCCTAAACATACGCCCGACGCGTGTTCGTGTCCGCCCCCTTCATATCCCCTCCAGCCGGTCCCGTGCCCCCAGTTCTCCCGATCGTACCGCTCCGCGGGGACCCGACGCTCCCACACTCATGATACGCCTGCGCACAGCTGCAGCTGATTTCCTATCTTCCTACCGCGCGGGCTTCTGCGGGGAACGCGTCCTAGCGCTAGGACCTCCCCGGGGTCAGATGACCCTCGCCCCTGCGAGGATGGCTGCTTCGCAGGGTGGGAGAAGTCGACGTTTAGGCTCGCAGATGCTCTCGCTGCTCAGGCCCGGTGGTGCGTGCTTCCTGCCCGTGTATGGGCGCCACCACGACGGTTGGTGGGGGGGCTTGGCAGGGTCCGTGCTACGATACGGTACGGCGGCGGAGTCCGCCGCTGCTGGACGTTCATCCTCGTTCATTGCATTGTCCCGGACGATCACGCCGTCGAACAGTGCTTACTGGCGCTGCGCGAAGGTTTCATATCGTACGGGACAGATGATGGCGAACGGCGCGGGACACCCGCAGGGAAGGCAGCCAGGTGGGTGTAATTCCGGTCGCCCGTCTACTGACCGCCGCTCCACTCGGTAGCACGGCCGGCGCGACTGCGGTTAGCGCTAGCCTTTTGTGTCCTCTTTTGTGGCCGTGGCCGAAAAAAAAATCTCTGTGCGATTAGCAGGATCCGTGGGACGAACACAAATCCGAACTCGTGGGGCGCGCGCATGATGTGCTAGGATGTGGAGCGGGGTATGTTTTGGCGGCCTCGCGAGAGAGGAAGGTTGCAGGTTGCAGTGACGACGTGCGAGACAAGACAACAGGCCGTTGAGGTCTGATTCGCCGATCAGTATCCAGTTCTCACTGGGCTGCTATCCCACTCCATACGAGAACAGAAGGCGGACGAGATGGAGATGAAGATGGCCATCCTTACTCCGCCACCTCGTGGTTCGTATATCCTGATCCCGAACGCGCAACTGTGCGCAGGAGCCCCCGGATCCCAATTGGTAGCCCTACTGCTATCGACGACGATAGGTTACCAAGATGTAGTGGGCCCGTTGGCCATATCCATCTTAGCTCGCCCGCGAAGGGCCGACCCCGCCCCGCAGCGCCGCAATCATTCCCCCTGCCGGAGTCTTGTGCGACTCGATCTGCTGAACGTCCGTCGCTTGCGCTCCATCTGCGCTGGCGTTATGAGCACCTGCTGACCTGTCGAATTTTGAATACAAAGCCTGGTCTCTGTCCCCGTCATACCCGACTTGTCTAGGGAGGTCTCGCCAGCGCCTGCGTGGTGGGATACAAAGTTGAGGCTCTTCGGAGGAGGTGCCGGTCCCCCGCGCTTGCAGGCCTGATCGTGCGTTCGTTGAGTGGTCACCTGCTCGTCCATACACCTTACCACGATCACTACGGGACATGCATCGGCATGCGAGCCGTGCGTGCGGTGTGTACGTGGGTTTGGGCTTGGTGGGTCCGAGCTCATGTGTGTTTCTCGCGTGCGGGTGCAGTCGTTGTTAGTGCTGCAGAGCGTTGTATGTGGGCAATTACTTCCCTTCAACTTCGCAATGCCACCCCTTCGGTACCCCGCCATTCCAACACGCAATAGGACTATTTCGCCACATTGTTTCACGTGTGCCTAGATTCGCGCGGCGGCTTGCGCAGAACGCGAGACACCCACGAATGGCAGCTTAAGCGCGCGTCTGGGCTGACGCCACATACACACACCGGTTCATTCGCCCGAACTCGCCGTTCTCCTGCCTTCGCTCCTGCTGGATCTGTCGCCGCTTCCCATGTCTCGCCCCCCCAGACCCTGTGCGCCGACCTATCGTGTGGCCGACGAGAATGAATGCCGATCTGTTTGATGGCTTACCCCGCACGAGATCGCCCTCGACGAGATCCCGGCGTTCCGAACAGAACGCCTAGGGGCTCGCTCGACAGGGCGACAGGGTCTTACCCCGCACTCGCACAATTGGGGATGGAACTCTGCTCTGCTGTACGTACGTACGTTGTGGGCTCGCCATGCTCACGTCGCTGTGCTCTCTTGGCTCTGCCCCGCACTTCCGGACGCTAGCTCGTTATGGCACACGACGTGTCAAAGCCGGACGGCGCGCGAGCTTCGGAGGGGCCGTCGTTACGAACGGACGAACGCGAAGCGGCGGCCTATTTGTCAGAGCAGATACAGACGACAGATCGACCGCCGCGGTGCGTTGACGTTGGGGGCAGCGTTCAGAGTTCGTATCCGCGCGTCCGCGCTCCGACCGCGCGGTCGGTCCTGCTCGACCGGTCGCTGTCTAGGCTCGCTGCACCCCCGAGCGCGACGTCCCTCGCGGCCTCCCGGGTGCGTCCGTGGCCCGGCCGAGCTCGAGTTCGTCGCACGGACGCAAGGTTACGGTTCAATACGGATACGAGTGTCTCGCGCGAGAGTGCGTATCCAGCCTCCGATGTCCCGAGGCACATACAGCCCCCGAGCCTGGACGTGGCGGCTCGGAGGCGTGCGCCCGCGCTTGCTCCGCGCAGGGCGCAACAGCCGGGTTCTGCAGGGACGACGCTCCGCCCGCCTCCGCACGATGCTCGCTGGATGGCACGCTCGATCGTCCGTCGTGGACGAAGGTTTGATGATCGTTCGTCCAGCACAACGTTGTACGGAGGGAGGTCATCTGCACCCTCTCTCCGCCCGTGCTTCCCACGCGCATTGCGAGTGTATGGCATGGGGACCCTCATCGTAGGCTGCGAGCGTGTGTCAGCTCCTCATCTGCTGGTGCATCTTCGAGGGTGTCGTGCCGGTTATGGACCCGGCGGCGTGCAGCTCGCGGATGTCGGGACGGGTTCATTGAGTGAGGCGCGCTGATGACATCAGTGCCTGCGAGCGAGCTTGGCGTTGCTGTGCGCCTGCTCTTCGGGCTCCACTCTCTGAGCTTCGAACCGCCGAGAGTTCTCTCAGTCTACGGCACGCTGCGGTGCACCCGAAGCCGGGACTGGGTGCACATTGCCCAGCTGCGGCACTCGAGCTTCAGCTGCTGCCTCTTCCGCGCTTCTTGGCTGGACTGGGCTGAACGCGGCTCCCCGAATCGAACCTGCCGCTGATAACTCATGTTCACTTCTGACGATGACAGCGACAGAGCTCAAACCCAAGCTTCAATCTGTAGCTTGAACGGTTCCTCTTCATCTCCGAGCGGAACGGCGCGGTACCCGGTTTCTCTAATGCTTGGCATCGCTGCTCTTGGTACTCCTCGATCTTCTTCTGACGGCACTGTCTTGTGGATGTCACTCTGCATGTCGAGCCAAGCGGGTGGGGTCACGAAGTCGGACCGTACACTCGCGACTTCCACGCTCGCAGAGGACGGCTTTAGAGCTCGACTTCTCATCTCATCAGTACTCCACAACGCCTCGCTTCGTCCATTCCCGGAAAGGACAACCCTCCACGCGCCCGATTACACGGCGAGCGTAGCACTGCTGACAGACATTGATTCGGTCGAAACGATCGATTCTGCGCTCTCGACCGGGAACTCAAACTGGCACGCCGCCGCGGAGGTCCGACTGCATCCATTGATCCTCGCAAGACCGGCGAGCGCAGCCGTGCTCTTGGCGGCGACGCGACAGAAACGAACCCACCTGCTCGAACGCGACGCGCTCTCCTGCTGAGACGCGGTCAGCTGCCCGGCGCGCGCGCACGACGCGTACAAGACGTCCAGGGGGCTCGGACCGGGCCTCCTTCCCCGACCTTCCCATATCGGAGGCGCGGGCACCGCGCCCGCCTGCTCGTCCGCTTTTGGCTGTGCGTCTTGGCGCGTCGGGTGCCCTGTCCCGAAGCCTGTTTGACAGGCCTCCCGCAGAGTGCTCTGGGCGTATCCAACGACGTCTGTCGTGTTTCGCAGCGCGTCAACGGTGGACTGCTTGGCGCGGCACCCTCCTTCGTCTCCGGCTCTCCCGCGGTACTCAGCGACCTGCGGCGAGCACGCAGCGCTCTGGGCCTGCACCGGTATCAGCGATGCATGCGCCGTCGGCTGTCGAACGTACCGGACACACAAGCTCGCTGCTTCTCTGTCGATACCTTGCGTACGTGGATTCGACAGTCGTACGACAAGCCAACGGCTGCTGCAGCAGCCTTGAACGCGATTGGCTACATGCAAACTGGTCGGTCGCGCGCCTGGTGACCGTATGGCCTGTAGCTCAGTCCCCACGGCGATGCGAGGGACGACAAGCTTGGCACCGCTGCTTCTGTGCAAGATGAGCGTGTCTCAATCCGACGCCTCGTAGACCTTTCGTCCAGCGTCGGGCATGGCAAGCTTACGTCCGGCCTGTCCCCCTGGCCTCCTTTGGATCATCCAATATCTCTTCAGCACGTCTTCTCCTAGATAGTGGCAAGTCCATCTCCGTCGTTGCCCTCCGCACGTGCTGAACAAACGTTCTGACAGGAGGGCAGACGTCGCAAATGCGATACCCTGCCTGTCCTGATGTCGTGCTTTACGTAGATCCCCTCCACGCGGTATACTCTCCCTGCCCACGATCTGCCTCCCGATGCGCCCTCCTCGTGGTGTCCGCGGCCACGCCTCGCGCGACGGTAGGCTGCAGCACTGCAAGATAGGCTCGCGCGCCGCCACATCTCGTATGCGTATGTGCGGCCTTGCCCCTGACGGACGGGCCCCTCTTCGCCCGAGCGCGTGTTATGGCCGATGGGCTGTTGGTGCGACCGCCGTGCTTCGCCGCCGAGTCTCGCGCGAACTCGCGGAGGACGATGAGTCAGACACGCCTTCTCGTGTGCGGCTGCTTACTCTCGCGCCCTCCGCGAGTCCGGTCTCTCGTGTGTCGACTGCGCGTAGTCCGCACGCGATTATAAGGTAACGGTAAAGACGTTTCTTTCTTTCCCGCCGTCCTGCGCCGCTGACAGCTATCGCGCAGACGCAGGAGGCGCCTCGGGCGGACCCCCGTCCAAGTATATCGTACTTACGTCTCCTTGCGCGTGTGCCGGACAAGTGCCTCGCTTAGACGCAGCGCGATGCCCGATTCCGCGCGCAGGCCGACGGTTGACTCTATCCACGCCAGCCCTGTGTACAACTCAGAATCGGGCAGACCAGCGCGCGCGCGCGCGCCACCGCGGCTTCGCGGAAATTGGATCTCCATTCACACGATCAGCACTCACGGATGCTGTGTTTCCTCCGAGGCGACGGTTGACACAAGCGTGGGCCTCAGACGCGCGCTACCTGCTAAGCAACTGAAACCCGCTTGTTGCGAGATGCGTTCACACTGAGCGCGTACAGGCCTGCGGCATCGACATTGCAGCTAAAGTTAGTTACCAGCGCGCGCGGTCGCTCAGGCTCCAGGTCGCCCGATCGACCATGCGCACGCAGTGTGCTGGCTGCTCGCGACTCGCTCGCTGTCAGCGGAGGGCGAGACCGTTGGTCTCGCGACGGGCTTCGCACGCGCCTCGTGTCGAAGGGCTGCTGCAGCACTGGCACACCGCTCGGCGACGCATGCAAATTTCCGGCCATCTGGGCTCCTGCCGTACTGCAGTCTGGATGAACGGATGGGCACCTCGGTTCTCCTCGCGTACCCGTGTATGCCCTGGAATCGTCAGACGTGCGCGTTTCCGTTCGTCTGTCGTTGAGCTGTGCTGCGCTACGCTCGCTGCCTTGACCTCCGCTTTGGCAGGTGCGCTCATGCGGGAACTGGTTGCGGGTCCATATGATTCTATATCTGCTTACGACATCCTGCAGTGGTCAACTTCCTGCGTACGCTTACGCCTCATGTGCGGCTATGGCTTCGCTCGCGTAGGAGGAGATATCGTCGGCCTCATAAAGGAAAGGCAAACTCTCGTGGCTACTATGTATACCACGAACTGCCGGCACGCAAGCTGGGAGTTCGATGGATACTTCTATCCTTACGTTCCTGGATGGGAGTCAAAGCTCTTCCCCTGTACCCTTTCCTACCGAATTCCAGAGATCATCTCTCTTCCGAGTCTGCACTCAGTCGAAAGGAGCCCTTGGCATGTGGACGTATGTACGTATCCTTCTCGCGACTTTTTTTGATTGTGCGTCTGGCCACACCCTCGCTCACCTCCACTCGGCGCCACGCCCTGCAATCCCCCCGGTGCATAGGTCGTTTCGGACTCAGTCTAGCGCGGGATTTCTCCATCATCATCTCAGACAAGATGCGCAGTCCTCCGTCCGCCGGCCTGCACTCACAATCATGACGCCGTCATCGCGCAATTATCTGTCAACCTGTCTTCTATGCGCGTTTTCATGCGACCTGTTCCTCGCTCGAGTGCAACCAAGCCGTGTTCGCGTAGATGTTCCCAACTGCTCGCACTACCTCTCTAGCGCCAGCCACAATTGTGCCTTTTTGGGACCCTCCATGCACGGCGCCTGCGGGAGGCACGAGGCACGCTGCCGGCAGTACAGTACTCACTTATCTATGCGTGGTCAACGCCTTTCCGTCGTCTTCCAGTCCGCACGGCCGCGTGGATCAGATTCAATGAACTGAGGTCCGCATCATCATGATTCCCGGTGCGTCCAGCCTTCGACCGTCTCTTCGACACACGCCTCGCTCCTCTCTCAATCGGACGCTATGTCATCCAGACCATGTACCTCAGCCGTGTTGGCCAGCCCAAGGGAGCCTCTCGCATGTTCTAGTCATCTCATCTGAGCCCGTCGGCAAATCCACGGCGTCGCTCTCGTAAGTTCAGCTGCAACTCTCTGCCGGGCTCACTCCGCGCACCGCCTCCATCTGTCTCCCACCTTGCACGCGATTGGTGGGATCAGTCTCGCTTCTCATGCGGAGGCACCCCGTCTTATGCTGCGGGACGACTGTTGGAGGAAGACGAGCCTCGTGGCTGCACTCCGTCGCACGGATCAGCTAAGCGCCCTCGGGATGCCCGTTTTTGAGCAGACGATCCCTTCTTGCCTCTATCCACGAGCGTGGTCGAGAGCGCTCTTGCTTGAGGCTGCTGTTGTGAGCGTGCTTCTACCGTCTTCTTTCCAGTCTGACCCTGAAACCAAACCGTGCTACCTTGCGGGTCTTGCGCTTCTAGTTGCAGCGTAAATCTCGACTATTTCGAGGGGCACAACTACAAGCTCGCGACAGGCAAACCTCTTTGGACGAACGCACATCATCCTGGAGGCTTTAGTCTGCCTGCCGAACGTTCAGCGGAGCGGAGGCGGATGAGACGCGATGAAGCCAGGATCGTACAGCTCCCGCCTCCGACGCTCTCGTAAGTTTCTGCACCGATCCTTCCTTTCGCGCCCGGCTAGTGCACATCCCCTCATCCGCTGACGTTTCTCCGAGTCCGACGACTCAGGACGCACAATGACATGCTCGTCGGCTGTGTAGCTCGCCGCGCCCGCGCGCTACCTGGCTCGAGGCGCGGTTTCCCTTCGATCTGCGGGATCGCGATGAACGTGCGCAACCACTCGGAGGCGCTTTGGCGGTGGATCCTCCGCTGCCGTGTACAGATCCCGCTCTAGGGAGACAGTGCACGATCAAACACGTTCGCCAGGCACTCATCAGCTTATGCATGACGAGGTTTCCACAGTACGGCCTTCCGAGCTTCCAAGACGCTCCCATCCATTGTCGCGACAGGTGAACGCGCGAGCTTCTCGGGCTTCGTGTCTCCCAGCGCTCTGGAGGAGGTTCCTTATCGTGAGCCGCGGTCGGCGCCGATGAGGTGAGTTCCCACTTCCCTATCGTTGTTCCAAATGATACGCCCGCTATCGGAGGATAGCTGATGGGCGCGAGGGCTTGGGCCTAAGCTTGCCCGAGCTCATGGCGCAAGTGGGGCAATCGCAGCTGGATACGTCATGTAGGCGAGTCGCATACGTGAACAGATGGGCTATTGCCTGCGAGCGCGGGGACAATGTCGATGCGAATGTGACAGCCATTCGCGCATGGGAAGACAGGCCTTGGCGAGAGCGCTGCGGGGGTACTGCGGCAGGGCAATCCCCCGCCCACCTGCAGCATTGCCATGAGGTTAGCAGCGATTCTGATGACGGTTGGGTGCGCGAAATTCGCGGTTCGCAGCTATACACGGCTCCGAGGGGAGAACTAACAACCACCTTGGGTGTGGCGTCGCGGCTAGTCATGTCTTCCGCGTCTCGAAGGGCCTTTTCCCGACGATGGCCGTCCAGTCAGGAGTTCGTTTGCGTTTGGTGGCGTAGTGCTCCTGACTTGATGTATGGCGAAGCATTGAAAGCCGCAGATATGGGACATCCGAGCATGGCTTCAGTGGGAACGTGTCCGGGTGTCCTAGTCTATGCCTACAATGTGTCCTGCAGCAGCCTGTGCGGAGGTGCTAATGTTAGATGGGCGTACTTCCCTGACGCAGGGCGGGAAGGCAGGCACAGGATGACGCAACTTGCATGTGCCCATGAGCTAGGCAACTCGATTTGCTCAGGGACCTTTCACGCGCTTGGACGGTTCTCTATCCGTCTCTATGGTCGGTTTGTCCCATGAATCATCGTGGTGAGCGAATCGAGTTGTTGGTCGTACTACATCCATGTTGCTTCAGACGCATAATATACCATCTGAAGAGCCGCTTCGATGCTATAGTTTGTTGCCATCGGCTACTACTGGCTCCTGTGCTAGCCATGGGCGTCTCCCTACATCTCTGTCAGTTCAAGCGCGACATCTGGAAAGCCGGCCCGAAGTCTCAAGTTCGAGGTCCCAGCCTCTCACCCTACAGCTCTCTGTCCATCTCACGCTACAAGTCCTTCATGAATGGCGCACACTAGGTTCGCCTCTCGCATACCTTTCCGGCATGCGGGGACCAGTGCTGGGATCAGAGCTGGGATCGTAATTCAACCTCGGAACGGAGTGTGCGCGTCCGGGAGCCTAGAGTTGTTCTCCGTCGCTGATCCTTCGGCTAGCGGAAGTGGTTTCCGCTGTAGCAATCCGGATCGTCGCTGTGCGCGACGCACTCCGTCGCTTCTTCCGCCGCACTTCCTGGCTTCCGCAGCGCAGACTGCCGAAGCTAACTCATTTAGAGGAACAGACAAAGTTTGAGGGTGTATGGGTACTCGGGACGTGTTGTTACGTCTCATATCCATGTCCCGTTTCTTCCGGACTTCGGCAGGACCCCCCATGTCTTGCCCTTGTGTACACATCAGGAGGGTCGGCTCTGGGCCTTTGAGTTGTGAGAATCGTCCGAAGTCGCGGAACCTTCGACATTGTTCCCCGGAGTGTCGTCCTCTGTAACAGTGCAGCTCGCTATGACGCTATGCGGTTTGTCCGGAACGACAGCACAAGCTAGAAGGCCGACATCTGATCCGGTACGTCCCTTATCTATCGCACACCGATGGCATGTGCGAGCTCGCGAATTACGGATGAACAGGACATCGATCTAGGAGTACAATAGCACTCCCAATGGCTCAGTACCATCATTTCAGGGATGCGCTGAGTAAGAGAATTCGAAGACGGCGTGGTATCGGCTTACTTGACTTACGCGGAACCCCAGCGGGACTATGCAAGCTTAGGATGCACAACGTGAAGATATCACAAGGTAACGCCTGCAACATAGAGCAATCGGCGTCGCGGATCAGCAGATAGTATGTGGTAGTGGCACACGAAACGCAACTACGTCACTAGGACCTGTTTGTAGACTCTGATAGGATAACTTTGCGACTGTCCCTCTTTGTCTCGATCACGTACTGGTGCCAACGTCCCTTGCTCCTGTTCTCCGAAAATCAACCATAAGAAGCTCGTTTCCGGTGTTTAAATCCTTCGTATTGGACAATGATTGAGGAAGAATGGGTTTCTGGTTGCATTTCTCAGTCGATTCGTGCGCGTTTTGCCCCTGTCTCATAAACTACTCCCATGATATCCATCATTCTCCACCGTGTTCCGCTCTTGTCATTTGCTTTTTCCTGCTGCTACACACGCCGCCATGTCAAGTATGGTCTCTGAGGGGATCAAAATGACCTTGCGGTCGTCAATTCATGCGCGGGTTATCTCGTCACATTCTTGCAGCGGTCTGCGCGCGCACTGACTCTGAGGGTCCGGAGTCTGTCTGAGTCTTGTTGGGAGGCATCTGGAATAAGTACAAACTACAGCAAGCACACCGCTCTCTTATGTTGCTCTTGAAGCTAGATGGGGAAACCAGTCACGCCATGGAGGCGAGATGGTAGTCGCACTGATCCAATGATTTCCTTCAGCAATTGCCGGTGGTAGTGAGCGCTGAGCGAGCGGTGGGTTGCTTAGGTGATCAGGATAGCCGCTGATGAGGTGTTGAGCGGTGGCGCTCCAAACTGACGACTCCCGAGACTGCCCTCCGACCTGAGTTGTCTCGGCGGTCGTGACATTCGCATCGCCAGCATCCCAGTCGACTTGCTCCTGATTACTATGTACTAAATCGTCGCGGACTACTTCATCTTCTTCGCGTACTCTTCCATCAAGATTCGCGCCTTTTGCTTCCAATCTCCAGATGATGACAGGACGCGCTGCTTGGCCGCACGGTTGGCGAGCTGGTTGGTCTGCGGCGTTCCGGGTCAATCCCGCACTCACTCAGGCTTGCTTGTCGCTCACCTGTGAGGGGTCCGCGCGGAGTCTTCGGAGGGTGCTCACATAGCTATTGGATTCTCTGGATAGCTGAGGACGTGGTCATAGCGTTGCTCGGTGAGTGCTTCAAGGTACACTCCCGTATATGCGGATAGACTTGAACGTACCATGTTCGTAACCTCCGAGAAGGTCTTCTGAAGGAGTTTGGACTCTTTCTCGACATTTGCTTTGATGCCTTCAATAGCTGTCGTCAATTCGTTGACGTTGAGGCTGGCGAACTCTTGCAAGGCAGACTTTGCAATATCCATGGTTGCTCTCATCGCATTGAGTTGCTTCCGGAGCTCCTCTGGAAATGGAACAAATCCCGCATTTGATGACAATGTCGGTCAACATAGACATCTGACACGGGAAAGATCACGCACCGATGCGAGCCACCTCTTCAAAATCTATACCTCCGATGACCCGTGGGCTCATTGGTGATTCCGTCTGTGCCGGAATGCGAGGCTGCTGGTTAGTATGCGTTGGCCGCATGCGTGATTGTTGGGCAGCGTCGAAGCTTGGTATCGGACTCCAAAACAACATCAGATTCTCCTCATTTTCTCTGATTGCTGCTTCTCGTTCGCTCCTTCCCTGCACGATACATCAATTTAGTATTCAAGGCCTCAGAAAGGAGCTGACGAGGCTACCTTCTCCTCTAGACTATATGGAAATTACGATGATAAGAACCACGCTGAAGACCTGAAAGCATGGATACTGACGTACCTTTCCAGTTCGTGTTGTAGGGACACAAGCCGAAGGCGGGGTCTCTCAATATCGTCTTCAAGTCGTTGCCGGAGGGCGCGTAGCACTGTATCGATACTCTGACTGAACGCATCGAGACGTGTCCCCAACGAACTGAAATCCTCTCTTCTACCGAAGCGAAGCTGCAACAATTTCTGTAGTCGGTCAGGGTCTTGACAGATTGTCGTAAATAGAACATCGGATGTGTACCGACTGACCTTGTTCAAGGCAGAGAGCTCATCGATTGTCTCGTCGACCTCAGCGGGATCGTTGGTCTCCTCTTGCAATGACAGGTAATCTGAAGACACACGTTAGCCATCTTAGGTACGGCAGAGCATGCTATTCACATTCAATGGTAGCGGCTAACTTCACTGCGGCTGCCTCCGACGTTTCACGGATTATGCAGTACTCCTATTCAAGGCGTCATGATTGCAGCCACAGACACTGTGACTGGCCCTCACCTCACGGAACATGTGCCATTGCTCCAGGAAGCTGGTATGTGCGACTTCATCAATGCGTCGGATTGTGCGCTGCTGGTCGAGCAGTAAACGATGGAGCTCTTCAGCAATGTCGCACAGGCTGCTGATCTCTACTGAAAGCTCAAAGGGCTTTCGGGTGGTCGTCGCCGTGCGATTAGTGTCCCTGTGCATGAGTATGAACATGAGCCCGGGAAAAGCTCTTTGAGAGGCTGTGGCGTGCATATTGGGCGTGTCGGAGTCTTGCCCTTCCCTTAGAGGGTCAAGATGTAGTCACGTTACTGCCCTGTTGCGCTGGCAGGTACATTGCCGCTCTGCAGAATCTTGATATGGTTGGAGATGTTGACCGACTCTTCACAGGTACTTCTAGAAGGTCATGAATGAGGACAATACTGATTGCCACTTCACGTGGTCAAACTCAAACCTCCCGTTGAACGTGTACTGCTGCTGTGTGGTCAAACTCAAACCGAACGTTCGACGCGCTAGAAGTACGATTGGACAGTTTCAGCCTAACTCAAGGTTACCGCGTCCACAAGGCGTGGTAGGTGCGTGTGCCGCAATTATCATGTGCTTGTATCGTTCCCGAAATGAAGCTCTCTGCCGTGAGAGCGGCTGCGCAGCATTCGAACACTGTGCAACATGTACTCACAGAATGGACGCGAACTCGCCGTACCTCTTCGCTTCCCCTTCAACATCTTCCCCTCTACAATGTCGAACGTCTCCGCTATCCACTACTCCAAGCAGTGCACCTTTGTCGTCGAGGTCGAGGCCAGGGATCCGGTAGAGGACGCTATCGAGCGGATCCTAGCCTCGCCAGAATTCTCCCAGGGCATTGCATCGGACACCCGAGACCTGTCTCAAACCGCAAAATACATCAGGGAGGGCTTCCGTATGGTAGCTAGCGCCTTGATTACCTTTGACTCCGAACAATATCGTGATCGGGATGGTGAAGTGCTTCAGCTTCGGCCTCAATGGCTTGTGTACCAAGCGGTAAGTGGCATCAGTTACGTTGAATACCTACCTCCCCTTCCTACGAGGATGCTGATACTTCTGGGCGCTCTGAGGCGTTTGATGAGATATTAGAGAAGAGTCACTGCAATGCTCTTGCAGCGTCGTCGATGATCAGGCGTAAGTATGATGGATAAAATACCGACTTTGTAACCTTCTTCTTACGCCGAGTTTGAGATACAGAATACACACAAACTATTCTCACGGATGTGGATCCCAGTGAGCTTGAAGATTTGCGAGACGAGCTTCAAGGGTTCCTAAAGGTAGGGCACTTGTGGTAACCTCTTTGAACTAGCTTACCTCGCATCGCGAACATCTCAGAAACTTGACGAGAAGGCACCGACAGCTCGACGGACCCAAGGAGACCTGCAGAAGCTCGCGGATGACGTGCGATCCTTCAAGGCTGTGATCGACGAGACACTTGCCAAGGCGGAAGGCAAGTGCGTCAGCGACATCGACGGGGCCAAGGATCACCTACAAAAGCTGCACAAGAAGCTCGAGTCGTCAGTGTCTTCTCAGCCTGTTCGTCTTATCCTCGTCACTGACAGCCTTTCCATCTGACGCAGGATAAACGACGACGTGCGTTCGATCCACAGCGTCATACCACAATCTGCGACTGACAGCAGGGTGATTTCTAGAAAGCGACTCTGGGCGTTCTAGCCGTGGGCGGCCTCCTAGCTGGTGGGACCTGCGCCATCGCTGCGATGTTTCTGCTGGCGCCCAGTGCCAGTGAAAGCATAATGGTACGTTGCTGACGCGTAGAGTCTATTTCGCGTTTCTGGTCATGGACTCTTGCCTTAGGCCATGATCAAGGAAGCTGGCGCCTTCGGTTTGGCGTATTGTGGAATAGAAGGCTGGAACCTACATAAACAGGGTAGCCGTGAGTACAACTACGCCAACATTATCTTTTGCCGAGCGTCCAATAACGCGTACGTTATATTCCTAAAGAATGCGTCATTGAGATGAAGGACTCCCAAGTTGATGTTGTCCAGAAGACGGACCGTCATTGCGAGCTTCTCGGCCATCAGGCCGCGCTATCCCAAACTAAGCAGAAGATCACGGCTCTCGCTGAGAGAGTCGACACCATCATCTCCATCTGGAGAGTGGTAAGCTTCAGGCTTCGCTTGGCTAATAGTTGCTACTGTAGTCTCACCGCTTTCTAGCTCAAGTGCGACATGCAGCAACTCCAAGAGCAGCTTACGCTTGTGGTAGATCCCGATATGAAAGTCACCAAGGTTTATTTGTTTTGATATTTCGCTTATAAGTCCCTGCTGATCAATTGTTACTAAAGCGCTTTGTGAAGAAGCTAAGCCGTCCGCGCGAGGTGTACAACCGGCTCGCGGATCTCTTAGAGCTGTACGCGAAAGGGAGGTTCAACATGTCTTGAGAAGCTATGTTTTGATCCTCGCTGTGATTCTGATACTTTATTACCAGTCCTTTATTCATAGTTGCAGTATTCCTCGTGTCTTTTTGTGAGATTCCTAAAGTTGGAGGGTTTGAGAGCGACGCGTAAGATCCTTGAGTCCATCATTGAATCCTCGTGAGGACGCATAAGACTTCAAAACTCAAGATATATATCTTCTATTACCACAATGTCAACTCCTCAAGTGTCGGCTCAGGCAGCGTGCCCGTCGGGTCGTTGCTGCCAAACTCGGGCTCCTCCTCGGCGACGTCGTCCTCGACCCGTGCGCGAGGCTGGCCTGGGGGCGACGATCCACGTGGGGGGGTCTCAGCTCCATGGGACTGTGGTGGCTCCAGCTCAGCGTCCTGGAATGGCAGGGGATCGTCTTGCACTGGTGAGATCTACACCAAATCAGCGAAATCATACGTAGAACGAGGAGGCGTGTTGCATGGTTCCAACGGCATCGTCAGTCCTTCTATCATGCGGAAGCCACAGACTGCCACGCGTGCACACGCGCAACCAGCGTGATATGTCGAACGCGACCTCTCCGACGATCATCGAGGCGCTCATGCGCTGAGCTCGGAAAGTGCGTGTATATGCGCCGTCCGAGCTCCGCGGAGACCATCCCTGCGACGGCAGCGTACCAAAATGCGAACTCACCTCGCGCCAAGGCTCGCTGTGTTTACGTGGGTCGTTTCGAGGCAAGGCGAACGATCCTCCCACTGAGGACGGGCCAGGCTGTAAGTTGTCAGGCGTGCGTCGACGTCTTCTGCGGGCCCTCGCAGATGGCTGCCCTGTCGCTTGAGCTGGATGTCCGGTTCCGAGCGCGCGACCAAGGGCCTCTTTCAATCGTTGATTGCGATACCGGGCGTGGTTGCGATGCGTGGATTCCGAGACTTCGCGCTGCCGGCCTCTGCAATACTTCGCACAATTGTAGTACCATTCACGAGGCGTGGTGTCGGTTGTTGGGGGCATTGGAGAAACCTGACAAGCCGAGTGCCGACGCGGTTTGGAGGAGGGTAGACGTGGCGGGCTTGGGAGCAGGAGCAAAGTGCACACAGACAGACCTGGGACGGCTGGCTTGAAGAGCACGCGCACTGGTTTGTGGACATAAGGTAATGTATTACATGGCTAGAGACATGCTACAGACTGGTTAGACACAAGCTAGAGACAGACTGAAGTCGACGTCACCGGTGTCAGGACATGCGTACTGCCGCGTGTCCGATCCGGCCACCGTGCACAGGTCAGTTAGAGACACGCATTGAGCGCCTAAAGTCGTCCGCCCAATATCAACCGAGACGTCCCGACCTCAACCGCTCTGACACGACTTTCGCCGACGTCAACCAGCTGAGCCCATGTAAGTTCTCACTGGGCACTTTCATCCCTGATGCTTCTGGAAGACCGTCCCTTGAGGTTGAAGTAACCGGGCGAGGATAATGATGAGGAGAATAAAGGCGCCCATCAATTAGATTAGATTAGATTAGATCAGATGGCGCTGTGCTGTTGCCGAGGCACAGTCGGCACCTGTGAATGCTCCGATCTGCTTCAATTGCGCATTCACTCCTTGCTCAAGCAACTCTTAGGGCCCTATACGCTGGATCTCCTGCACCATGCCTTAGCTTACACATTCACTGACTTTTCTGCCTGCGGGACTGATTGGGATTCAAGCGTGATATAGTGGTCGACACGTCACGATACGCCTGTTTCGCTCTTACATGACCATTGGAATTTGAGACAACCAAGCACCCTGGCACCGGAAACCCTACTTCAATCTCTTGGCGTAGCCATCTACCAGATTCTGCGCCCGCTTTTGCCAGACCACGGAAGATGACATAGCGCGCTGCTTTGCGTTGCGACAGTCGAGTTGGTTGCTCTACGGTACGCCAAATCAGTATGGCACTTCAGTTTCTGAAGACGCATGATGTTACAGGTGTGGGGTTACCGTGGACTTTCAGAAGCGCACTGAGGTAGTTTTTTGAATTGTTTGTGAGCTGAGACAAGTGGTGAGCATTCCGATAGTTCGTCATCCAGGCGAACAGACATGATCGCACCTTGCACGTCACGTCCGAGAAAACGTCTCTGAGAAGCCCGGACTGTGTAGTGAGCCTCATTTGGATTTCCACAATGACGCTGATTATCCTCTTGAGATCTAATTCCTCGTGCTCCCGCAAAGTAACCACGGCTTGTTTCAAGCTCGCTCGCTCTCTCGTCAGTTCTCCGTCTAGAGACTCCATGATGTCAGAAGTCAAACCAATTATAGTGGAGAGACACCGTATGGAGGTTTTGCGCACCAATCCGAGCCTCTTCCTGTCTGCTGCATTGCTGGGTCTCCGGTCTCTCTGTGTACGAGGCTCGCGTTTGGCGTTTGGCGCCTGCATTCCGAGCGCGCGTGTCGTACTGCCATCCGCTGTTAGACTTGCCTACTGTGCCCCATGCATCAGCTACAAAGCTCTGCGCCTGAGCCAAAGTTGCTTCGGACTCCTCCCTCTTTCTCTGGACAAGGCATGAGATGTGGTGGCTTAGACACAGACTGACGTTACCTTTTCCCGTACCCTGCAGTACCGGGGCGTTACGGTTGAGCACGGGCACTCGCTATTCTAACGACTGACGTACATTTGCAGCTCTTTTTCCAATGAAGAAATCCGACTCTCCTTTACATTGACATCATTTTGAAGCTGGGGTCCAACGGTTGCCACCGCGTTAGTAACAGTCCCAGCTAGATTGCCGAGGCGAATAACAAGGGCATCCCATTGAGCCGTATGCTCGAACCGAATCTGCGGCAGCTTCTAATGGTGTAAGTTATGAGTCAGCTCATGCTCACCGAATTCATGGCACTATTCTGACTCGCCTGGCGGAATCCTTTCAGCTCTTCAATGGTATCCTCAATCTCGGCAGGATCGTTTGTTTCGTCTAGCAGCGATAGGTAGTCTACGAAATGACGCGTGAGTGTAGTTCCGATGAAAGATGAAACTTATACTGACATTCGATTGTTGCTGCAAGTTTGATGGCAGCACCTTCCGACGACTCGAGGATGCCGTGGTAATCCTGGATCCGAGTCTCATGCCGGAAAATCCGACTAGGAAGCGTATCTCTCACCTCTGCACACGTCTCCCATTCTTGCAAGAAGCTGGAGGATGAGACTGCACCCAACACGAAATCGATTTGTCTTATCTTCGGCTGATTGTCGAGCAGCGCACGTCGCAGGTGGATTGCGGTGTCAGTCAGTTCGGCGACTTTGGTCGCAAAAGTGGAGACGGTGGGGAAGGCTGTCGCCATTGAATGTACTGGTGTAGTTTCAGCGAATGCTCTCCGGGCGAGGATTCAGCCTATAAACCCCTTTTGTTCATAACACAACGGACGAAGGCTCGAGAACCCGAGAGACGCCTTAGCAATAGAATACCATGTTTTGGCGGTAAGTTCTCACTTTACCTATCAAAGCTTCTCGGGATCCGGACCAGCTCAGTAGCTTGGTCACATATTTAGTTGATCTGCTGCAACTTCTGAGCAAACACGCGCTGCTGTGCCCAATGCGCTCGGGGCGTGCACGCTGATCATTGTGGGAAGGTCATCAGGGCGTATCGCAGCTGTGTGGTCGAACTCAAACACATGAGGGCTTGGGTTCAGGACCTAGGCTAGTCAACCCGGAGATGGAACGCTTCGACTGCCTGCGACATGAGGTTGTCGCGATGAGGGTGCTGGCGAGGACTACATTCGCCCACAGTGACCACATCGCTGTGAATTTGAATGGCTTCTGTGATCAGGAAGCCAAAGAAAGCCCTATGCACAGGCGCTGCGGCATTCTCGGGAGAGCAACGTGTCCTGGTGCCTCCTAGCTCGGCACTTTCAGGCCGCGCAGAGTGATCGCCGCCCAACACCTCGCTAGTCTGACTGTCCTTATAACGAATCACGAACGCAGTTCGCTCATCGCCATATACCCTACTCCATTGAGATGTCCAGAGCTATCACTGTCGTTCAGCACACCGAGCAACCGGCCCTCGTGCTCAAGACCAGGAGTGTCAATGTCGTTGAAGCCGCCGTCGAGCAAGCCCTGACGTCCCCTGCGGTCGCAAACGCAGTCAATGCCGATATCAAGAACTTGGCGCAAACTGTCAAGGGAATTAGGCAGGGCTTTCGGGCGGTCGCGGACGGTCTGATCGGCTTCGACAGCAGCAGATACGTAGACAAAAACAAGGAGGTCCTTCAACTTCGCCCGACGTGGTTGGAATACCAGACTGTAAGCCTTTGGCTCGCTTCGTTGCATCGCCCCTGATACTTATCACCATCTCAGAGGTTTGACAAGATATTGGAAGAAAGTCACCGGAATGCCCTTGCCGCGTCCTCAATGATTAGACGTGAGCGGTGTTCAACTCGGGCATCTGCCGTGCAAGTTGCTGATGAATATCCCAGAGTATACGGAAGCGATCCTCACAGATGTGGATCCAAGTGAGATCGAAGACCTCAGAGACGAACTTCGAGGTTTTCTGCAGGTATGAACTGATGACTTACTGCAAAGATTCTCGTTCGACTTATGTAACTTTCTATAGAAATTGAACGAGAAAGCACCCACTGCCCGACGAACGTACGGGGACCTACAACAGCTCGCCGACGATGTGCGTTCCTTCAAGGCTGTTATAGACGATATACTGGGCAAGGCAGAAGACAAGTGTAATGAGGACGTCAAGATGGCCAAAGACCACCTGCAGAACTTAGAGAAGATGCTTCAATCGTAAGTCATGATACGTGGTGTTAGTTCGATCCCTACCGAAATAGGCACAATTTCATTGTAGCGTCAATGATGAGGTGATTCTCAATAGACCACTCGCTTTGAACTACCACTAAATTCCTTACTACAGAGAACGGTCTTGACCAGTATTAGCAAGCACGTCCTTGCCAATAGCGCACTACTGGCAGGGGGGCTCTCCGCCATAACCGCGATTTGCGTTCTCTCGCCTACTGCCGGGATGATACTGGTACGTTGCGTGTCTATGCTACCAGGCACGAGCTCATTCGCAGGAGTCACTTGCAGATTGAGGCCTTGGGCGTTGGAGTGGCGATTGACGCAGGAGTCTACAAATACAGAGACTCAAACCTACTCGGAGCAAATACACGTGAGTCGCCTATGCTTCCACTGTCACCAGTAACCACGCTAAGACGTGAATTGTTCAGAGTACAGCTCGGAGTTGATAGAATCTTGGTTCGACCTCAAATACCAGGAATCCCGTCATAGGGAGCTCGTCGGGCATGGCGCGGCGCTTGCGCAGACGAAGGAGCGGATCGATGCTCTTGCTGAGAAGATTGACACGATCACCGAGATTTGGCAGGTGGTACGCCCGTGCCGTTGTTAGAACTTATCTGTACTCCATTCTGACCATCTATAAGCTCAAGTGCGACATGCAACAACTGCAGGAAGAACTTGAACTTGTTGTTGACCCAAGCATGTCCATTACCAAGGTAAGCCAATCTGTCACAGATGCTGCGCACATAGAGTCTGCTGACGGAAAATGGAACAGCGTTTCTTGAAGAAGCTCCGTCATCCTCGTGAAGTATACAACCGGCTCGCAGATCTTCTGGAGCTCTATGCCAAGGGCAAGTTCTACTTGTCTTGAAGGACCTGCTTTCTATTTTGTCTGGCACCGCCTTGCCTCCTTATCCTCCTGGACTCTCTTTGTGTACTGCCTACGTGAATGCACCATGTCTTCAAAGTGTATATTACGTGGGACTGCCTCGCCCGACTATCTACAGCTTTCCGAGTGAGCCAAATATATCTTTGAAACACTGTCATCCTCGGTGTGAAGCTGCTGCCGAAGGAAGACTGTCATAGACTCAATCGGCAATGAGACGAAGTATTGTGACATCACACGGAACTTCACCATCGCCTCACTGTCACGCCTACTTATGAGGATCAGCATTCAAATTCAAAGGCGAGCCCTTCCAACCTGCACACGACGCTAATCTGGACACCCCTCCCGCAATGCAGACAAGTTGCGGCATCCAAACCGTACGCATTGTGGTCGAAATCAGAAGTTGGGCTGATTCATGGTAATGGAAGGACTTAAGTTACTGATACCGGGTGCGTGTTGTCTTTCGACACTCTGCATGCATCCGTGGATATGCAGGCAGAATCTCGTCTTTAAATTGAGGTAATCGAGGCTCGCCTCTCGTCCTCCAATCTTATAGGTGTAGCCCATTCCAAGCAGCTCCAGTCGTATGAACCTTCTGTACAACACGCACCTTCCAATCGGTGGTCCTCCTTATCATTGAATTCCAAGAACAGAACACAATCCCATTTACGGGACTAAAAGTCGTACCGGAGCCTCTATCTCGCACAAGACATCTGACCGGATACTTCTGTTGGCTAGTCAGCTTTCTCCGGGCCGGGGGAGATAACGGCTTGGAAGGAAAAACACAACCTCACTTCTGAACGCGCTGGCACTCCTCTAACGCTTCACGGTACTACTACCAAGTGTGAATGCGAGCCTCGTGGTGACAGTCTTCTGTCGTGATGCCTCGTCCGAAAAATTCCCCAGATTTAACCTTGTGGATGAAGAATCAGCTCCGAGCATGGCGGGAGGACGTTCCGAACTCGAGAGACGATCGAGAGGAACACAGACGAGCGGGACACAGATCCGAGTCCTTCGGATGCAATAAGCGCCCAAGCTGACGAATGAGATTAGATAAGATTCATTCTCGTACTGAGTAGATCTCTAGATTTTTGTCAGCGTACCTCGATCGCCTCCCTTCCTCTTCATCCTCCTCCCGTTATCACCCTCAGTGCACATCTGTACTCCCTAGGACTCAGAGCAGGCAAGGTCTTTCACAGGAAGGACTGCGATTTTCCATCATCGCTTCTCAGGACCCTCTGATCACTTACCTCAACATGGAGTTTGTTCCCGCTCCCGCAGTACATCGTGTACTTTGCGCTGACTGCGGAACTCCCATCGTACCCAACTCTGCAAATCTCTGTGTTGCCTGCTTGAGGAATACCGTAGACATTACGGAGGGTATACCAAAACAAGGTGAGCGTTTGCGCCATTTCTAATGCCTGTGATCCTTCGCCCTTCTTCCGCGCATGCAACCATTGTGCAAAGTCGCGCTCAATTCGACTATGAAGCTACGTCCGGTCTTTGGATACTCGTGTTACCATATTTTGTCACATATACCGTTCTCCCGTGCTACGATATCCTCACAATTGCATATCTCCCCCGCTATCCTCAAACTCACTCAATGATCACAGCCTCCGTCTCATTTTGCCGTAATTGTGAACGCTTCCTTTCGCCACCCTCAAGCTGGGTCATCGCCCGCCCCGAATCCCAAGAGCTCCTCGCTATCTGCCTCAAAAAGCTCAAGGGCCTGAACAAGGTCCGCCTCACCGAGGCGCATTTTATCTGGACAGAACCCCACTCGAAACGCCTCCGTGTCTCATTGACCATCCAGAAAGAGGTCCTCACCGCGACAATCCTCGAGCAAGTCTTCGAGATCGAATATCTCGTCCAGTACGGCCAGTGCCCTGACTGCACGAAGCTCGCTGCAAAGAACACATGGAAGGCGTTAGTGCAGGTCCGGCAGAAAGTCCCACACAAGCGAACGTTCCTCTTCCTCGAACAGCTCATCCTCAAGCACGGCGCGCAGAAGGACACAATATCGGTGAAGGAGGTGCGCGATGGGCTCGACTTCTTCTACAGCTCGCGGAGTCACGCGCAGAAGATGGTCGAGTTCCTCAGCGGGGTCGTTCCCGTACGGTACGTCTCACCGCCTCTCGCTCTCCCCACTCGCCGTTGACCCATGTCCGCTCAGATCAAAGGCGTCCGAGCAGCTCCTCTCCGCCGACACGCACACCAATACCGCGAACTTCAAGTACACGTATTCGGTCGAGATCACGCCCATCTGTAAGGACGATCTCGTCTGCGTCCCGCCCAAGCTCGCGCGCTCCTTGGCGAACATTTCACCCCTTACACTATGCGTGCGCGTCGGGAACTCGCTCCACCTCATGGACCCCGCGACGCTCCAATCCGCTGAAATCACCGCCCCAATATACTGGCGCACCCCATTTGAGAGCCTTGCAAGCGTCACGGACCTTGTCGAGTTCACCGTGCTCGACGTCGAGCCCTCGGGCGCGACGCGCGGCAAATGGGTCCTCGCGGACGCGCAGGTCGCCCTTTCCGGCGCGTTTCGTTCGCATGGGGCCGCTGGGGCCGGGGAGGATGACACGATGGACTACGAGGGCGGGGGCGACCAGATCTTCCACACGCGCACGCACCTGGGCGGGATCTTGCAGCCGGGAGACAGCGCGATGGGCTACTTCTTGACGAACGCGAACTTTAACTCCGACGACTTCGCGGCGCTCCTAAGTCATCGCGTGCCTGACGTCGTGCTCGTGAAGAAGGCGTACCCGAATCGGCGCAAGAAGAACAAGCCGCGTGGGTGGAAGCTCAGGAGCATGGCCAAGGAGGAGGGCGAGGAGGGCGAGACCGGTGGTGGCCGTGGCGTCGTCGGGAGGATGGGCGGACGGGACCAGAAGAAGGTCGAGGAGGATTACGAGCTGTTCTTGCGGGAGTTGGAGGAGGACGAGGAGATGCGCGGGGCGGTCAACCTCTATCGCGCGCAGAAGCCTGGGGCTGGGTCAGGCTTGGCAGGCGGGAAGACGAGGAGGAAGGGGCAGGGGCAGTTCGATATGGACGTGGACGAGCACGCGTCTGCGCCGGATGCTGGGACAGAGACGGACGCGGAGGAGGAGCCGGACTTCCCCCAGGTGAAGCTGGACGAGCTACTGGAGGATTTCGACGATATGACTTTGGAGGACTCGGCATAAGCGGAGTGTATCACTGCTCATTATATCCGTCTCCTCTTACAAGTATATTGCTCTCTCAGATGCTACAATGGGAAACGTGTGTATGGAACTGCTGTATTCACCAGGGGATTGTATTGCCTGCGTATGTGAAGAACTTTCCGCTATCTTCATTCTTTAGCGAGGTGATGAGCTTGATTATGTGCGACACGCTATACTCGGGTTCGAGCTGTGCTCCCTCCCCACCCATTTCTGCAGCAACGGTGAGTATATGTGATTTTATGCTAGACGTAAAGTGCTTACCGGTCTTCACCCATCCGGGATCTAGCACAATCGCAGTGAAATCCGGGCGCTCCTTCGTCATCTTGTAGGTCTAGCGTGACATCGTAGTATTTGTAAAAACCTCCCGAGTACAGCGTATCAAACACTCACAAGCATATTCAAAGCAGTCTTGCTGATGCTGTACGATGTACATTTGCCACCGTGATTCAATCCGATGCTTGCAAGTCCGCTCGACATGTTTACGACCATCTTCTTACCCTTCTCCAGGAGTGGGAGGTACGCCTGGTAGAGCAGCATCGGCCCGACAACGTTCACCTGGATCGTGCGCAAGAACACCTCTGGTTTTGCATTCGATGGAACGTCATCTTCTTCATTCTACCTCCTTCATCGTCAGAATCACGAGGATCAGGGGATACGAGAAAGAGCGAGCATAGTACGCACAATGGCTGCGTTGTTATATAGAATATCGATGCCACCTTCACCCAAGGCCTCCTGGACAATCGAGACCGAGTTCTTGATCGAGCCCTCAGATGAGACGTCTATCGGAGCAATGTGTAGTGTGCCCTGGGCAGCGTCCTTGAGCGCGCGGAGCTCAGTCGCGCCGTTCGGGTTGCGGCAGGTCGCGACGACGATGTTGGTGGGCACGGTCAGCAGCTGTCTGGCAAGCTCCAGGCCAATTCCCCGGTTCGCTCTGTAGTGAATGGACGAGTGCGATGAGTGACAGGATGCCTGTGCAGGAGACTACTGAAGGTCCACGCACCCGGTGATCAACCAAGTATTCGTCTCCGTCATGTCGTAGTAGGAGAGTATGGGGGCGACAATGGTGGGTCAGCCGCACTGTAATCTTTCATATAAGGATGAGATATGAATGTGCGGCAGCCAGAAGGATTCTTCGGCTTCGATCCAAACCTAGTCGGAGCCGCATACCACTGGTGGAAGAAGTAATACAGTAGCGGGGAAATCTCGGGCCGTTGCGTCTTAACGGCAGCAGTCCCCGCGGGGGAGGTACATACGTTCGGACCGGCAGGCCGAGCATTTCAGCAAGGCTCAAGGATCCGCGCGTTAGTTACTTAGTCGTTGATACTAGTCGATTCAGTCGCCGTGAGATGTCGCCAGTCGTACATTGTCAATATTGTCATGGCCCCGACTTCCACAATCGTAAGCTTGGTCATCGGCCAAGAGCGTTGATTAGATTAGATTACATCAGATTAGATCAGGGGTTATGATCATGATGGCGCTCGATGCATCCCTGTGCCATCAACTTGTAGATCGCCACCACGACTCCTTGGTCCATCGTATGCTTAGCTCGACTATATAGCGCACATTGTGCTTGGTCCTCAACCGGTGCGCGAGGTGACTGACACAAGTCCTTCTTAAAGACTCCAGGACATCAACTCTATATCTACCGTGGTAGCAAAGGATTCAAGTTGCGCAGCCGTCGATCCAACTGCACGGATTTGACCATTATCGATCGCTCTGTGAGTCTCATCAAAATCTTGTGTAGGATCCTGATTGTTTTTCTTCTTGTTTTCCCCGTGTGCTTTACCTCCGCATCTGCATGTCATGCAAATGACCTGACGCGGGATTCCTAGGGGGACGCAAATCTACTGGTGTGTCGACGGAATAGCTATACCGTAAGTCACACACGAGTTGCCTCTGATATGTACCTTGCGGACTCAGCTGCAGCATTAATTCAGGGCGCAAACCGTCGAGTCATACATGGTACGGGCCCCGCCGGCAAGACCCCACCGAGCGACCCGGTCACGACGACAGCCCCCGTCCCCTGCAATTACCCACGAGCCCCTCTAGCGCAAGATTTCCGTCTCTTCGACCCACAGACCAAGCCGAGATTGCCATCGTACATACCGTCACTGCAACACAGAAGAGCCGTCATTCGGAATGATGGCTGTACATGCCATTAGTCGGACATAGCATTTTAGTCGCCAACAGTCGCTACTTCAGCAGGCAATAGCACATACCGAGGTAGCGGATGTGAGTATAGCCTACGTGCGAGCCACCGGTAGCTATTCGTAATGCACATGCATTCGCTGATGTGGCAAGTAACTCCGTCCCAGCAATAAGTAGGTTTGAGTCTCACGCCGAGGAAGCGGAGACAGATATAAAGGAGGTCCTCGCTAAGGGGTTCCACATTCACAACGACACTCATGGCTATCACCAACCAGTACACATGGCTCATCACTGGGTACGTCGAAGGTTCAACCTCACGACCACTCATCGACAAACCCTTATAACGAGGTTCCCTTTGGCAGCTGCTCTCGCGGAATAGGGCTGGAGCTCACCAAGCAACTTCTTGAGTTGCCTTCCAACTTCATTATTGCAACGTGTCGCGATCCCTCCAAGGCAACGGCTCTTAATGCCCTGAAGAGCTCCGCCAAGGGGACGCTGCAGATCATCCGTCTAGACGTGGATGATCGGGAGTCGATGATGCAGTCGGTCGAAGAGGTGTCTGCAATTGTCGGAGAGAAGGGTCTCGACTATCTCATCAACAATGCAGCGATTGTGAGTCTTGTAGCTATCTTGCGTTGGTCCCCTCACTCCTAACGATGGTCGCAGAACCAAGAGATAGACACCGCCTTCACCATGAATATCGACGGGTGGGCTCAGGTGTTCAAGACGAATGTTGCGGCACCTGCATTCATGGCTCAAATATATCTCCCTCTCGTCGAGCGTAGCGAGAAGAAGACCATTGTGAATGTTTCGAGCTCTCTTGGGGCGTTCGGCTATGGCTTTGGCGAGACATGGGCGTCTTACGCAATCACCAAGACCGCGCTCAACATGCTGGTATGTCGCGCGCTTCTGGCTTGTCAGAGGCCATAATTTCATTTGATCTAGACGTACAAGCAGAAGGCGGAGCGGCCCGACATCAACGTCGTTTGCCTTTGCCCCGGGTGGGTTAAGACAGGTAAGTCCGATATTCATGTCGTATCTGCCTCATTCAAGTTGACTTACACCGAAATAGACATGGGGGGAGATGATGCGCCTCTCACTCTCACAGAGAGCGTTGCCGGGGTTGTGAAGGTCATCACCTCCTTGCGGCCGGAGGACAGTGGGCGCCTCATCAATTACCGACACGAGATTGTGCCGTGGTGAGCTTCACCAACCTTCCCCTCATTGACAAACGTGGCACATCGAATGGAGTTGGAGTGGCAAATTGTCTGTATTTTCTGTATGGTCCCATGAATCAAATGTGGTTGTACAACGTACTCGTTTTTCTAGCAAGACTCATGGATACAGCCTGGGCACCATAGGCGCTCGTTAGTTCAGTGCAGCCTGCTTTCAGACGTCCTAAATTTGTACCATCCAGAGAGAATCCTATTTTATACTAGATGACTACTTTGACCATCATGTCTGTCAAACATACACTGTTATCTTGAGGAGAGCGGGCTGAAGGTGCTAGGAGCAAGCAGAACCCCTACATTGTACGGTAGGCGGCGAATGACCGAAGTCGATGGGAGAGCTTATCAAACGGTCCTGCCCGGTTAAGCCAGGACGTGCTGCACTGGCCAGGAGCTTCAATTCAATCGGCCTCATAAGCAGACATCTATATGGGACATCAAACGGACGCAAATGACCCACTTCTACTCCGAGTCTATTGAAGAACTGGCCGCATATAAGAAATTGTCAATACCCGATCGGACTCGGTACTGGAGGTGAAAAAACGGCGCGCCGGAGTTGTCGGCACTTGGCTTCCCTTGACCTGAATTGACCAGATAATTATCAAAGACCGCGATTGCCGTGCTTCTCCGGAATAACGTGGGTGGTTAGGACGGATGGCATGAGTAAGGAAACGTGGCTGACAAAATCCGACGTCGTGACGACCCCTCTGGGAAGGCCTAGGGTCCTCTCTCACGCCAACACGACTATATATAATACCTGAGATGCCCAGCATATGTAACGCATTCACCGTTCAGGTCTATACACCTAACATGTCTCCCAGCGAACAATACACCTGGTTCATCACAGGGTTCGTCCTAAACGTATGCACGCTCTTTCATTTCTATCGTTCTGACCCATGGTCGCGGTACAGGACAAGCCGTGGTATCGGCTTGGAGCTCACTAAGCAACTGCTCCAATCTCCGCATAATGTCGTTGTCGCTGCCTGCAGGAATCCTGGCAAGGCAGATAGCCTTCAGAGTCTGACGACTTCGGCAGGCGGGAGACTATACATCGTCCGGCTCGACGTAACAGATACCCAAACAATCAAGGATGCCGCCCAGGAGACCGCCAAGATTGTCGGAGAGAAGGGGATCGACTACTTGATTAATAATGCCGGAATCGTACGTCCTAGTCACTTCCAGGTCTTTGCATCTGCGTCCCTAACGACTCGTCGGCGGCTGCTCCTCACCCAGGGGATTGGAGATACCGCGTTCACGATGGACATAGACGACCTCACGAAAACCTTGCAGACCAACCTGGTTGGTCCTGCCTACACTTCCCAGGCATTTATTTCCCTGGTGGAGAAGAGCAAGAAGAAGACCATCGTCAATATCTCAAGCACATTGGGTAGCATTGGAAGAGATTTCGGACCTCAGTATGCGTCTTATGCGGTCACCAAGGCGAGCCTCAACATGCTGGTACGTCGACTGTCTTCTCGTACCTCGTACACCACTATCGCGGCTCGTTCCAACTGACTAGCATGAATATGAAGACGTACAAGCAAGCGAAGGAGCGGCCTGATCTCACCGTGCTTTCAATATGTCCAGGTCATCTCCAGACTGGTAAGTGTCGCAGCTACGGTGGAACCTCATATCATGACTGACGACATCTCGTTCGCTTGTACGTAGATATGGGTGGTGAGAACGCGGCGTTGCCCGTCTCCGTCGGGGTCGCTGGAGTTCTCAAAGTTGTCACTTCCCTGACGCCGAAGGACAGCGGGTCGTTCATGAATTTCAGGGGTGAGCGGGTACCGTGGTAGATACGCCGTTAGCCGCTATGTATGGGGACATGTTCACTGCAGCCTACGTCTCAGTCCTTAAGGCCTTGCCTAATCGGGGCCTCCTCGATATGAAGGAGTAGTGAGCGTACGCGAATGAGTATTATGGATACAGTGATGTGAGGAACGCAGATGACTCCAAAGACAATTTGAGGCTGCGAAGGGCCAGGATTATACGGCGTTGAGTATGGCATCCTGATCTACAGGAAAATGGGATCTAGTAAATAGTAGTTGACGCCACGTGCAATAGCGCTGCCGCTGCCATGAAGTGGTGAGCGCCAGCTCAGCGGAATGCCACCACGCCTACTGACCTTTGCGTCGACAAATGACCGTCCTCATCGACCCCAGTTAGCATATCGTAGCTCTCCTGTCGGTTCTCGAATTGCGACTGCGACTGCGCCTGCGCCTGCCACTAAGGTCCAAGGCCGACGCCGCTTTTCTCAATACTGGCTGTGGAGCCTGAAGTAGGACTTCCTGTTCGACGTCGGAATAGCTGGGAGGGAGGATAATAGAGTCGTCCGGGTCGCGCTGAGGACCATCAGACCTCCCCAGGACAGACGACCACAGGAACTGGCCTCCCTCCGGGACTACACCTGGTTTTCTTGACAGGTTTGCTTCGGTGATCATCTCCAAGTCATAGGGAGTGATTCGTGAGCGGGGCTCCATGCTGAATCGAGTCGCTCTAACGTCTATGGAGTAAAGCGGAGCCATCAATCCGATGAGCGTGGAGTAAGCGCGGACGGAATCGTGGATGAATGGTTGACTCACTGTGGCTGCGGGGGTTCAGCACTTCCTGGACTTGTTTGTGTCTCCGGTAGAAGACATATAGCATGGTAGCAACTATAATGCTGAGGACGCCGATGACGGCGCCAGCAGCCAGCCCAGTTTTGAAATCCGCATTGCCAGATGTCCCATTCTCTGAGATCGAGGTGGGAGACGGGTATGATTCTAACATGGCACATCGGGCGATGGGAGACTCAGTAGAAGACGAAGGGATTGCGTTACAACTTGCGTCGACAGGATAGGTGGTTCCGGGTATGGGTCCAGGCAGAGTGGACTGTTGTGTCGCAGTGATGGTGACCACGACAGTGGTTGTCGGCTCAGTGTCCGAATGACGAGAGCCCCTGGCGAGAACTCCGGTAGGGAGAAGCGTAGTGAAGACGGACGCTTCAGAGGAAAGGTACCGATGATGAAGGGGAAGAGGCGACATAGCGGATGCACGGGAAGCGATGGTAACGAATGACTGCAATTTATCCGTGCGTTGGACGCGGTGTATCCGGTTGCGGCAGATAGTAGAGGGAATCATGTTACAGCAGCGGGTTCGTGATGAAGAACAGACTTCCTAAAAGCAACCCCCAGAGGTCCCGAGTGCGGCAGCGAGGCCAAAATTTCCGCCCAGACCCGATATCTGGAGTGCAAGTAACAAGGAAAGAACACAGATACGTCAGAAAGACAGACAGGCAATGTGCTTCGTACATAAGAGACCAGTCAGTCGACAGATAGGCTCCGTCGGTACATGGTAACGTACCATATACAGCAATCCTTGGACAGGTGTAATGGAGAGGGTCACGACACACTGCATGCATCCGAGAACTGTAGCAGCCATCTGTATCTGTATGGGCAGGATGTGAACAGCAGAGGTGGAGTAGCGAGCATGATAGCATCTGGAGGCGCGAAGACAGTGTCAGTTGACGCTAACGGAACAACATACAGATAAGCGCTACGAATGTGCATGCCCCTCGTACTCGATAACCGTGCGGCTGTACTGAGACGATACTGTGCTGGCGTACACAGAGCTTCTCACGGAGAAATATTCTCCGCCACGACCGTTGTCGTCTCACAGTCTGCAATGCAGACTGAATAGGAAGATGCACGATGTGCATCTGAAGGTAGCGGAATCCCGCTACCATGCTCCACGGGAGCCGTGGAGTGATCCGATACAACCATTCCGAATGCCAGGTATGACACGGCTCGGAACGACGGCTTTTCGAGATCGTGTAGATGTCTCCAGCTGCTGTCACGGGAAGGGGCCTGCCCACCCGCCTTCGAACGACCGATGGCGTTCGAAGATCAAGCCGATAAAGCAGCACACACACTAGAACAGCCTCCGCATGCAATGATGGTTCGAGAAGACTCACTGGGGAGCAAGAGAGAGACAGATCTGTGCAACCACTACAGGCGTTGAACAGCGGCGATATGCGATAACCCAACGAAGGTAGGTGGCAATCTCGTCCCAGTGAGGTTATTCCAGAGAAGCACTAGATCATACCAGACAAGCAGTCAAGAAGCCAGCCCAGTAGCAGAAAAGACCGAGAAGGATGCGTCGCCGCCACCGTAGAGAGGAGGAAAAACAAGAGGCGGCCGTAAGCGCCTTACAGAACAACGCAGCGGAGACCGTGGGAAATCCAGATTTGGAGGGAAAGTGGCAACGGCGTTGTACTTGCGTTCAAGCCCCCGACGTCCACAACGTCCTTATGTCCGTCAGCAACATGGCCTCCATAGAACGTGTATACAAGGTACGTCAAAGTGAGAGACTTGAGCGGGCTGTAAGCTGTAGACCGGAGTTGGCGTCCTCGTACCTGCACTCGCTCCCTTCGACCTCCATCATCGTCGCTCTCGTCTCTTGTATCATCACCCAGTGTACTGCTCAGAAATGAGGGTTCTACCAGGCATATTCAACGTTGCTACCAGGTTCCTAGGCCGGGCTATTCGGAGAGACTGTCTGGACAGGCTCCCGAACGACCTGCTCGTCGACGTCCTATTCGACTACTTAGATGTCAAAGACATCATCCGGATGCGCAGGGTCAGCAGTTTCGTTCTCAATGATAGATATATCATCCAACTCAAGGAGATCCCAGGTTAGCAGGCTATACTACGAGCTTACCCACCACGCGGCGGTCTGGAAGCGCCTCCTTCGTCGCATCGATGTTCCGCTCCCGCCCGCGCCTCTCACTCCCAAACGACCTCTGTCGAAAATCTCAGGGTTAGAGGCTGAACGCCTTGTCGTGCGCGCCTACTCCTTGGACATGAATTGGCGGCGGCATCATCCAAGGGCGCTCCGTGAGTGGTCCTTCGATGCACAGCGGCGCGTACTCGCTATGACTCTCCTTCCTGGCGGAGATTATCTCGTCGCGTCCGTGTCCAACCGTGCAGGAGACAGGTATTACCTCGTTGTATATGCAATGAACGCTCCTGGAGCTCCACAAGCTCTCACTGCGGTGGAAACCACCACTAAAGCCTACGACCTTCAGGCGAAGTATATGACAATCAAGGAACAGCGAAGCATCGTCATCGCTTACCTCCGGCGGGATTATCGTAATAAGAAGGACAGAATGAGAGCGTAAGTCATCCGTTGTGCGTCGTGTTATAGCATTATAACCAGTAAACAGCATGCGAGGGTACCTCCCAGACGTATCCTCCTACAGTACTCAGTACTCCGTTGCGGACGTACAGTTCAAGTACGAATGCTCCGTATTGCAGCTATCGCTACACACCCTCGACACACTCGCGTCCATCCCATATCCCAGCAACTCGCGCGAATACCGCTATGTGGCCGAAGCGCTCCCCAAACCATTCAACAACCTTTTCATGTTGACTTCGAAAAGTCAACTTTCGTCCCCGGTGCTCGCGGAGATGTATGGCTCCGCATACCTTGCGTTGGTGAGGGCCGATAACGACATCATCTTCAAAAGGTTGGAGGGAGGGGGGGCGGCGACGCTCACCTGCCTGGAGCTGCCCGTTGCTGCCGAACGGGTACGTGCGGCCCTTTCCAACAGTTCCTCTTCTTGCACTTATGGTGGACTAGTCTCACCACATCAGAGCCATCCAACTCCTCTCACAAGAGAGCGCAGTCTTCGTTGTACGTGAGATCAGCGGCGCTCCGGGTGTTCCGCATAGTTGTCCTGCGTACGCGGTCGAGACATATCGCGCACTTGAATGCGGAGACGCGCCCGTAACGCAGCTGCATGCTGCAGAGCAGTGCATCATAGCTTGGGACTTGGGCCATCTCACACACCTCCACCTTCCCGAGTTCCCCTCCTTCACTCGCCCCGAAGACCTCATCGCCGAAGACAAGCGCCCTGCCCCCGTCCCGCCTCCCCACCCGGCCCTTCGGCCCGCTACTCCGCGCACATCGTCCTCCGCTCGGTCGCCATCTACCAAGGTCCCGCGACCGCCGCCTCCGATCTGTATGATCGGCCGCGCGCATCCACAGTGCGGTCGTGACGAATCGATCGTGCGCATGCTCTTCCTCGCGCAGCGGTTCGAGGTCGACCTCCCGCCTACGCCGCCGTACTACGACCGGCACGGGAACCCCATTCATCGCACGCAGATCGTATACCGCACCGCGCTCGAGAGGAACCAGACGTGGACCCGCCGCGCGACTGATTACAACGCGTACCTCCGCATCATTCCTGCGTTGACGCGCCCGCTGGTATATGCAATCCCGTGGGACGACACAACGGATGCGCCAAAGGTGCTCGACGTGCGGCCCGTGATTGACCGCGGTTGGCAGCGTCCGCCGCGCCTGGAGGACGGGGTCGTGAGGCACCCGGAGGGGCTGGTAGGGTGTCCCTCGTTTGATGGAGGACCGCAGGAACTAGACGCGAACGTGACCGCATTTGCTTGGGATGAGACGATCGGGAGACTGCTGGTTGCAGAAGAGTCGTCCAATGAGATCATGGTGTTTGATTTCGCGGCTGAGCCCGTCCAGCGTACGTCCAGTCTGTTGTGTGCTCATGCTCTTGCTCACGACCTCGTTACGATCCTTCATACAGATTTTGACAAGACGAGGTATCCTATACCACTGCAAGACATTCCGAACCCGGATATCGCTATGGGTCCTCATGAGAACCCTTGGACCGTCATCGCATAATGTTACTGTATTGCATCTGATTGCTATTCCTGTATGGACCTGCTATCTCGTCGATCATGCTATGTTGTTCGTTTCTATGGTACTGACTATGCGAGGGGGGTCAACGATAGGCGCATGCCGTATACTGAAGACCTCAACTCCGACTTCTGTTGGTACAACGCCACAAACACAAAGTTTCAACATCAGGGACCACCTCCCTGTCCACACTGCCTCTATATATATTTCATATACTGAGTCCATGAGCTGCAACTAAGGGGCGTCCTGCGACAGTATAGCCCTATCCACCAAGCACAATGAACACTTCGAGTCCGCTTCAAGCATCCCGCGTCCAATCGAACACGCCATTGAGTGAACCTTGTCGCCTAGCGATCGCTTCGAACTCAGTTGCGCGAGTGTTGCTCGTGGTCAGACGATGACCGGATCCTCCGATAGGCGCATTGCACTCCGGGCACTTGGATTCTTCCATCGCGCCGCCACACTACACAATGTTCGGAACAACCCAAAGGGACGTAATACGTGTGTGGACGTACCTCTGTGATGACGAAGGTATGTCCGTTCTCGCAATTATAGAAGTGACCTCGATGCGCTGTGATACCCGTCAGACCCGTCGCGAACATTGATGTGTTGTCGGGTACTCACAGAATCCGAAGGCTTTGACAATCTCCTCCCGCTCCTGGGTTGACATCGGCTGATAGAAACCGCCATTTTCGACAAACTCCTCCAGCTTCGTGCACTCACGCTCCCACGCCTCGACTTTGGTACGGCAATTCTCGTTCATCCATTGACGTTCCTTCTTCAAGTCTGCTGTGGTTTGTGACGGCCGCGAGCGGATGTACGTTTGCTCGATGAGGTTCGAAATTTGTGGCAAGAGGCGCTTGTAGTTGGTCACTTTACGGCAGAGCCTCTCGCGCTCAGCCTTATCAAGGGCCCCGGCGCGGAAGAGAGCAGAACGTTCACAGAGAATGGTCCACCTGAACGCCTCGAACGCGAAACGCAGTTTATGAACAGTAGCGCGCGCTGCCTGGCGAGAGGCGGAAGAGTTCTTGGCGATGTTGATCGCCTTGTCGGCATCGGCGATGCATGAGTCGTACAAGAAGCTGACGAACAGGGTCCATAATTCGCGATGTTGCGTGACGTCTGGGTCGTTGGAGGTCACCGACAAGCCCTCGATGCGAGACCGCGCAATCTCGGCCATAAGCGAGCGCAGCTCCAGGGATAGGAAGTAAGCTTCAATCTGGAACCGCACGTCCGCCTTCGGTGGTGGTTGCCCGATCTTGCGGTCAACGATGACTAACGCCATGGGCTCGGGTGTGTCTGTGGCTCTGGCGGGATCTTCGGCGATCGCCTGCATCTCGAGACGAAAGAGTGTGGATAGAGCAGCCTCGTAAGCTTTGACGTGGGCTCCACGAGTAGCGGCGACCTTCGCAACACGGCGATATGTGTTGACCAGAGTTTTGACGACCTGGTACCAGGCGCGAGCTTCTTCTTGGGGAATGCCATGCACTTCCTGCATAGCTTGGAGGTCAAAAGCGCTGGCCGGAAGAGGGCCGTTCTCGGTGAACGAAATCTCCTTTCGCTTAGTCGACTCATCTTCGTTTCCAGCCTCGGTCGCGAGCTTTTTTGCCTGCTGTTGGTAGTCTGAGATGTTGTTCGCGTATTCGGAGATAAGTGGGCTGCACTCGTCGAGGGCGCTGGACATTGTGCTAGCGACATTCTGTTCTAGGATATCCAGCGTGGCGCGTTTCGTAATCCGACCGTAGCGTAGAGCCGTAATTGGCCCTCGGCAGGTAGGGCAAGTCGGAGGAGTCTGGTAATTGACCGGCGGTGACTTGGTGGAGAGAAATTGGCCCATCTGGTCGATGTCGTAGTAGTCATGCATACCACAGTGCCCATCAAGAGTCTCCACAGTGAAGATGTGCCCACATGCGAGAGTGATGAGACGATCGCTGATATCCGTCGAGCTCAAATCCACGTCCTCCAGACGGCGCTGCATGATGAAGTCCACGATGTCCGCTCTCCCGTCGGCCGACAAGCACACAACGCACTTCTGACTCGTGCATGGCTCCCCGCAAACTATGCAAAGAACGTCACGAAACGTTAAGCTGAAGTATATCGATTGGTCTCCGCACCTGAGGGACAAAGATGTCCGCACTTCAACAGATTCATGCATGGTTCATCGCAAGGAAGTCGAGAACAGATCTGATACGAAGAACAGTGAGTATCAGCATTGGGCGAAAGATTCACAAGACATACCGAGCCGCAGAGGACAGGGCACGTGAAGTGAGGGCAGGACCATTGGCACGGCTCCATGCACGGAGCACATGGTTCGGAGCACGGCTTCGCGCACTTATGGTGTACGCATTGCTGTCGACATGTCTGGCTACATTTGGTGTTACATTGATGCTCCCGAGCGCAATCCAAGCCGCACTGGTGCTGACAGTAGAGCAGCCGCTCGCATGGATGGCCAATGTGGTAAGTGCGAGACATTTTCCCCACTGCTGGCTGAGTGCGTTGGACAGTCAACGACCTGCAGTCGGAGCACGACGCCTTGCACGTCCTTGAGCAGCATTGTAACTTCCCTCCGCAGGGCTCCGAACACCACGCGTTGGCTGGGTCCTCGTGACATGCCACGATCGCAGAATGCTCGCAGCCAGGTAGTTTCTTGAGTACTTGTTTCGTACACTGGACCGAATAAAGGTCCTGAAGCTTATGGCTGCTTTCGTCAGAAGAGGTACGCGTATGGGCAGCAATCATGTAACATACCATGGCACCTTCGAAGCTGTATGGCCACAGGGGAGGGTGACAGAGTACATAGGAAACTCGCATCTGCCGCAGTCATCCGAGCATCGCCTGGAACAAGGGTGCTGACGAGGACAGGGAGTCCGATTGCAAGGCTCCATACACCTCACGCTGCGGTGGTTGTCGAGGACGGCGTGACACTGTACGGGAGATCAGACTCGTACAATACTCGGAAGGTGCAAGATACTAACAGCAGAAGGACAGATGTGTCCACACGCAAGCCGAGCATTGCAAGGCAGTACACAGCCGCCAGCTGGAGCGTATAGCGGGAGTTGTCCAGGCTTCGACACCAGTTGGACCTGTTCGGGATGACGAGGGCAAACAATGGGGAATGCAGGACCAATCTGATCCCTACTCTCCATTTCGTCTAGAATCGTGGACCATATTTGGTTCTTCCGGAGATTCGCCGCGTTGCCCAATACGAATAGTCCATGTTTCGCTCGGGAAAGAGCTACGTTGATACGGTTCGCGCTCTGTATAGACATCGGTTAGCTCTCGTTCAACGGTACGAGTGCTACACTGACCTTGAGGAAACCTATGGATGCAGACTCCGTATCGATTTGTCCCGAGTTGCGTACAAGCGAGACGATGACAATTTTTGCCTCTTGGCCTTGGAAGATGTCTACGGTCCCAAGACGTATCTGTAGCAGCGTGTTAGCAAGCTCAAAGGGAGATGTGTTAGAATACTGACATGCTTCGCGACAACGACCTCCTGAAACTCAACGTCCTCATCGAGTCCTTGCCGTGCGAGCTGGTCTGCGTCTCTCTCATCGACGGAAACGGCGATCTTGAGGTCCCGCAGAGCCGCACGTACTTTCTGCAGCTGTCCAAGATACGCGCATAACACGGCGATATCCCCTGGTCCGCTGTATGCTCCCTGGCGCAAGAAGTACAGAACAAGATCCTTGATCATGTCGACCTGTTGCGCACAGTATCACATGCAGGTCCTGGCTTGACGACGTGATACTCACCTCATACGTGTTGAACTTCGATACAGAGTCTTCGGTGCCATTCTCCTTGTTGAGGTGGTTGAGGAAGTAGACATCCTTCTGCATACCTTGGACCGGAGGATATCGGGTGACAATCTCGTTGTCCTCGAGCTTGGGGTAGAGAATCTCCCTTTATGAACGAGGGTCAGCAAAAGAACGCCCTCTATCGTGGCTACCGAACCTTATGAAATGTGAGATCGTTGGACGCATGCGACGTTGCACGTTGATTTGAGACATAGGATACCCCACGTCCGAGAGGCGCTCCATCAGCGACCGATCAAATTTGTAGAGCTCGTTTCCGATCCCGCTGTCCATAGAGAGAGCTGCAAACAGCTCAAGTTAGCTATGCTCCTTCTCTACGTCCAATCGAAACACGGACTGAAGGTCGCCATCGTAGGTCTGAGTTGTTGAGGGTCTCCGATGCAAATCAAGTGTCGAACTGACAAGGATGTAAGTAAACCACCGTCCCGCCGATACGAAGGAACACCGTTCACCGGATGTAACCAGCGAAGTTAGAATGTGAGCTTCAAGAACCTGCCCAGCTTCCTCCACCATCAACACCTTCGGCTGTATGCTCTGCGGGTGGACGACATGTATCAGCATCGTACTGTACAACACAATTGAGAACGAGCGATGGACTCACGCTCAAGAGGGATGTCAAAGTGGCGGCTCCTGATTCATGTTGCAATGTAAACTTCATAACAATCACCGTAGCAAAGCGTAACTAGACTCACCAGTAGTGGTACATGCAATCAAGTCCGTCTGGCTGAGAAGACGGCGTCGAACCTGCGTAACGCTGTGAGGAACAGTGCAAATCCTGGACCGAGGAAACGCAAACCTCGTCGCGCATATCATCATGCTCCTTGCATGCCTCTCTGTATTCCTCCTTGAGGCTCTTGTAGTGGTCCTGTTGCGATGTATATGCGAGCCAGCGAATTTTTTTCTCCCACTCATCGGCCAAGCGAGCACGCTCGAGAAGCGACATCTGCCACAATCTTGGGTCCCTAAGAAGCTCGTCTAGAGGTCGGTTCTTGCCTGGAATGGGTGGAATCAGCCCTGCGAAGCCAAGAGAGTCGAAGAACGCTGAAGGGTTGGCGAGGAGGGATTGGGCTTGTATGCTCAGGTCTGTGACTTGTTTTCCCTTCTTGGAAGTAGGCGGCGCTGCAGGCTGCTGCTGTAAGAAGTGGACGTCGGATCCGGATCTCCAAACGCCATATAGAGTTCGAGCCACGGTCTTATCAACGGTCTTCTTCTTGTTGCCCTTCCTGGTCACTTCTTGGAACTCGCCTTCTTGATCTTCCTCCGCCCATTTCTGAGACGCGAACTCGGCGATCCAGAAGGGGGGGATTCGAAGAGAATCCGCATGGTCCGGATAGTGGATGTCAAGGTGCTGCTCTATCTTCTCCCATGTGAGGAGAGGGAGCAGAATGGAGTTCATGGTCTTCGTCAGTCTTTCCTCGAGCTCCTTCATTTTCGCGTACTGGCGCTTCATGGATCGGTTCAGTGTGGCCTCCGAGGCGAGCTTCTCGAGTTTGTCAAGCGTGTATTCCGCTATACGTTCATCTGCTGAGCGGGTGCCAAGACGAACGATCTTCTGCGTTATCTCAGCGTCGAGGACGGAGGTGACCATATGGTCGAGCGCGTGATTGGTATACGCGATGAGAACTGTAGATATATGAGACAACGTTCGTTGAAGCCATGGATGAGCGCATGTATTCACCGATCGGCCGTATCTTACTGGCGAAGAGCACGCGGAGAATCTCCTTCGCAGTGAAACTCTAGGGACACCGGTTAGTCACCCACGCGGTGCAGAGACTCCAGATGCCATACCTTTCCTGTTCCAGGTGGTCTGCATATCAAAAACTTCTTGGTCATCTGTACAATGCGGTAGACGTGGAGTCCTCTCACCCCTGGATCAAGGACACCTCTCTTGTAAGTGTGTCGACGAGGGCCTCAGCCTGGCTTGGGTCGAGGATACTCAATCTCTTCAGTTCGTCACGCGCTCTCCTCACTGCAAGAGGGTTTGAGACATCGAGATCTGAAATTGATCGACGTGGCTGCGCTAAGCTCTGCAACTTGAATTTGAACCCCGGCGCCTGGGCGTACTTGGGTGGCAAGACCTGTACGTCCGTCAGGGGCCCCCCGGAGGCGATGTATCGCGAGAATGGAATCTCAGTGGGCTCGATGGTCTGGAGTTTATCGAGGAAAGGCCGGACTGATTCGAACATAACACTATTGTCGACGAGGACGGCGAAGTTCGACTTGCTTGTGCACAAGCGGTCGCGGCGTAGCGCCATCAACTCGACATCGGGATCGAAGAACGACACGCGCACTTGGATGCGACCTTGCTCGTGCTTCGCTGACTCTGATATATCCTTGCCGTACGATGAGACGACGCCGAGGTACACCCGGAAGCTGCGGTTCGCAACAGCAACGAGAGCGACGAGGCTCGCGCCTTGTAGGCGCCTGCTGTGCTCCCAGTACGCGACACGCTTCTTCGAGTCTTTGTCGCGTGCAGCACCATTCGGTGGCGCGTCGAGAACGAGACCAACAGATACGCCCTTGCGCGTAGCCTCCGGCGGGCGTCCGACAAACTCGACGTTCGTGTATAGCTGGAAGAAGACCGAGTCGCGCCCAGTGGTACGATACGAGCCTCCGTTCTTCGCGATGAGGGTCTCTAATTGAGTCTTATCTTTCTTAGCGCGGTTCCCGGCCCAAATCTTGAGCAGATCGTCGTGGAGGGCCGCTAACGATGCGCGCGTTGCAGATCTTGCAAATCTAGTGTCAACTGACAGCAGCGCAGAAATCACGTAGGGCTTACATGAGCTCCTCGCGAAGAAGGCGGAACTGGATGTCGAGATGCCGCTCCATGGAGTCTGCGGGAAGATGGTGGGGAGCATCGCGACTGAACACAGGAAGGTACGGCTGCACGGGGCAGAACAACTCGTCATGAGTTGGTGCGATGCGGATTTCCTCGATGTCGAGGAAGTCGTTGTCATGTCGGGGCCCGCCCGGACGCAGAACGCCAGGAGGGTCGTATGTCTGCGCGAGCTGTGCGATGCGAGCCTGACTGCGTTGAGCTGCCGTTACGGTAGATTTCGGAGGACCTTTACGTAGGCGCAAGACGGTGCCAGTCTCGCGCTCAACGATCGCAATCAGCCGGTCGATGTCCTCCTGTATGTGGCCGACAGTGAGCCTGCGGTTATTTAGTGGGGCAGAAGCTATGGGATCCTCGAAGCGGGGCGGGGAGATAGAGACACCGTCAGCCCAAGTATCGAACCACTCCGAGAACTGGGAGATGAAGTCTGGGATGTCGGAGTTACTGCGAATAGCGTCCTTGTACCGATTGAAATACCTGCTAACGGCATGAGATAATCTATGGAGCTCGATTCAGAGAAGTCATTTACTGCAAGAAAACAGTCGCAAGCGTCCGGAAGACGGCTACACCGTCAAGGATGTTCTCATCGTGTAAACTCGGGCTAGGGTCTTTCCAAGAGCGATTCTGGATCATTGAGAAGAGACACGTTCGTAGCGTCGTGAAGACGACTTCATGGTTGTTCTTGAGAACAGCGAACAAGAGACTGTGCGAAGGTCAACTCGAGAACGAGGAGAGTGAAGATATCCGTACTTGATGTTCTTATGCAGAGTAGATTTCAGCACGAGGTCAGAAGAGAAAAATTGGAAGATGGGAAAGTATCCCCGTTGGAACGAGAGGACTCCATAGTGGTAGGTTGCAGACACAGGCTCAAAGCGCAGTGCATCTCCAAGTCTGACAAGCAGGTTTCCCTACGCGCAAATCAGCCCACGTTCTAAACTAACAAGCAGGTGGACGTACTCCTACAACAAATTCGAGAAATTCTTGCGCACTTCCCGTTGTCTGAGCCCCCCGAAATGTATTAGCGACCAATAGTATTGCTCCTCAGTTGAAGAGGACGCACCCAAGCCTTATTCCTATCATTCACGCTAGCCAGAAGTCGCACGAATCCCTGCACTTGCGCGGCACTGTCGAACTGATAACCGGGCCTGACGAATTCTTTCAAGTGATTGTGGACCTCGCTAGGGTTCAGATTGTGCCACCGATCTTCGCGCACGGACCCGGCGCTTGCTGCTAGTCCCTCCGGTGAGAAAAAGTCAACTACGCCGTCCTCGTCTTCGTCCTGGTGTGCTGCGGTAGCTTGGGCGTCTGTTGCACCATTGCCCCTGACGTGCCGGAAGGAGCATTCGAAGCTTCTATCGCATGCCCCGCTCGTCCAAAAGTACTGGCAGACGTTGCGAGGCACACCTTGCAACCCAGGTCCTCCGCGTCCACGCCCACTGGGAGAGCGGCCGGGTGTCTGCGCGGCAGGTGTCTGGGAGCGGCTGCGCGATGGCGAGGATGGGCCCGACGACGGACCCCGGGGTGATATCGACCCACTCAGGTCGTGCGAGAACTTGCATCTGTTGCCGAAGCGACACCCTCTGGGGGTGCCGTAGAGGCTACACACTCCCCGTTGGTGCTGAGCCATACGAGCCAGGTGAGTGCCGATCGTCTATCTGAGACCTTGGGGGGAAATCGGTGCAGAGTCAGGTCACGGCGTGTGGAGGGAGAGAGAGAGAGTACGATCGGGTCCTCGATGCGTTGGAGATGCAGGTCGAGGATAAGAAGCGGAGATGGGGTGTCAATCTCCCGCCCTCAACCACAACGAGGCACCCGGATCGAACTACCCCGCGCCAAACCGGCGCTCTCGTCGCAACAAGCATCTGTCGATCCCTCCTCGGAAAGAATCTCAGGACGAGCATGAGTGGCATCCGCTTTACGCTGATTGTTCTTCTGTTTTTCTAGGTAATCAGCCCTAAGTTGAGACCCATGCTGGCTGACGGATCCAGCCCCAAAGAGTATACAGTCTCTTCCGATATGACAGGAAGCGAAGGCCTTCGTATTCTCGGTGTACTCATGATGCAGCTTCCGCGTGCGCGCGGCCTCAAGAGACGTAGCATGAATTGCGATCGCTTCGAATGGCGTCTGCAGTTTCACTGCAGGGTACAGGGTAAGTACTTTGACTCCAAGTCGAAGCGGCGACTCACAACCAATTCTCTCAGGTATTGCCTGGGGAGATTCAGGTACACATGCGTACGACGGGGCATTGGGTGTGGTCCGCTCAGCCTTCCGGGCTCGTGCTCTTTTACTGACCGATAATGCACACGTTTCGTGTTCCGTGTGCAGAGAACCTCACAAACGTTTGTCATGAGAGCATACAGATTGGCCGCAGCAAGTGCCGGGGATGATGACGGTCGAACGCAGAACATGCTTGTGGGCGTCTATCCGTAGCCGCGCTCATTCTCAGTCTCCCACTTGGGCCTTGGCAACTACCGCGATACAGGAGGTCTCTCTACTACAACAACCATATCATCTGATACATAAGCAGGTCTCTCAGCCGGTCTGACTCTCATCCACACTTAGCTTATATGATACCTCCTCAAGTCAGTCGACTAATTCAATCAAGTCATCAGCGTCTGTGCTCCTCCCAGCAGGAAATTGCACTTCGGAACCATGAACAATGGTTGAGAGCTCGCACCAGGTCAAGGAGAGCCGCTTTGCATGTCAGAACCACCAGGCCGGACCTGAAGAGAGTACACAGGAGTACATCGCGCGACTGGAATTCGCTGGCACGGGCTCCCAGCGGGGGCCACCGCCCGGCCATGCGGATTTCAATGGTCATAAAGCCACCCAGATTTTGGGTGGCGCGACACCAGGGCACCCATGAGGCCGCCAGCGGTGATACGTGTGGGTGCCCTGGCCCCAAATATGGTAAATTTCTGGTCAGCAGGGCGCTTAGGGGTTGCTCGAGTGCGGTAGATGGTGTTGCTTTGACTGCAAGCACTGTTGTATTGGACGACTTTGACACGCGTAGAATGCAACTAATATATCTCATTGACTCAAAGCAAACAACCATGCGTAGCTAATCCTCCATACGACTGAAAAGGGCGGGCCCCAATTGTTCCAGGTCGACGGAGCCGTCATCGTCATCCTCCTCGCCTTCCTGGGTGCCAGCATCCTCCATTTCGACCTCGGGCTCTGGTGCTCCGGAGCGAGCTGGGATGGGGACGTTGGTGCTCTCTTCAGTGAGGCCGACGTCGTTGTCCTCGTGGGTTGAGGATCTCGCGTGACCCCCCTATAACGGCATTCTGTGGCCTGATAATATCATTTTAAACCTGCCCTACGCTAACGATGGACTGTACGAATTACTCTGATCCAGAACTGGCCATATGGAGAGAGAATTCAAGGTGAGATGAGGGGGCACGCAGAGACGATCTCCCAGAATACACGACGCGATGATGATAGCACCGGCGCCTCTTAGGGCGAGTGCCTGTCTCGGCACAAGGCTCTCATCGAAGTCGCTCAGGACACCCCGCCACGGGCGCGTCCTTTGATTTCCGTTGACACAACATGGCCCACTGACGCGACCAGTGGCTTCCGCAAGGAGGCCAAGCGAAATCCGCTGGTCTTTATAACCATTGGATTCCGGGTGGTGTCCTCGGTGATAAGCATTGATCGCGCACGGGGCCTCTGATGGGCGCCTCCTCCCCCCAATTCCCGTCGCGCGATGTACTCCTGTGTAGGGCTCAGACAGCGAGGTGCCTCCTTCCGCGGTCTTCGCACGCGACCTAGCAGCATCCACTGCACGTAAGGACGAGGTCATGACCATGCCATCGGACGGTGAGTCTTTCGCCGCTACCTCGCAATCGGATGGGGTTGGTGCGACAGAGGCAGGATCTTAAGACGACCGTACGGCATGCCGCGAGATGGAAGGATGTGTCGAGGTGACAATCGGGGACTGGACGGAGGAGGTGCGTAGACCGAGACCCTTACAAATTCGAGACTGTCGCCTTCGTGGACGCTATCAGGCGAGTCGTCATCGCTACTTGTGAATCAGACTCTACTAAGGCATGAGATGCGCACCTGTCAGTCAGGAGTGAGTGCGCGGTATGACTGAGACGTGTTCCTCAAAACCTAAGCCTCCCAGGGCACTATCCGGCAGTCGCTGAGGTCACATTCGACAACAGGCTCCGCCCAACCCGGCCCTGGCAATCCTAGCCGTTCGTGAACGCTGTTTGAGCAGTATATCTAGGAACAATGCCTAGAATAGTATGCTCAGGCTAAGCGGCCTGTTTAGAGTATCGGCATACTGTTTTCAAGGCGATCTGCTTCACATGAACAGTGCGATATGTTGACAGCCAGAGGACGGTATCACTGCTCTCTCTCGCTTATTGATTGCGGTCTGCCTCCAAGTCTTTTACATCCCAGATAGGAACAACAGTGATACGCGGAATATAGTACCCGTAGCCCACGAACAGTCAAGCCACCGCATAGACCCACGTGCTGACGGACACAGCAGAATAAACCTAGTCCTCGCCAATGTGCAGTGATATCTGCATTTTGTACAGCTCAGTTCCATCTTCACGCAGGAAAATCGAAGTACAACTTACCTCATCCGCTGGAGACAGTAAGAGTTCCTCTTGATCGATGAGGGTCTCTGCAACGGCCTCGGCGAGCTCTACCAATATCAAGCCTTCTCGCCTCTGCTCGCCTCCCTTGTCAGCGATGCGCCACGCCCGTGAGACAAGCCGCCGCTCGTACGCCTTCCAGAAATAGCGAGTGCTTTCATCGTGTTTCCCGAGGTACCCTCTTGTTGTCAGGAACACGTAGCGCAAGGAAGGTAGTGCATTCGCCAATACTTGCGCTGTCTCCTGGAAACCGAATGTCGGCCCGCGGAGATCATTAACGAATGCTTCTGAATAAGGTTCGGACTCCGGGGGATCGTGGCAGACATCGGTATGGATGACGAGGCGCAGGTGGGTGAGGGCTCGCAACCTGCCAAGAGAGGACAAGAGCTTTTCATATAGCACAGTCAGTGCGGGCACGTCGATGCTACGAGAGGAGCATCAAACAAGATATGCACGTACCAACACGTCACGCCAGCGAAAGTCAAAACCGGCATCGGCATCGGTCCCCGACCCACCCATATTCGCATAGACCAGACAAAGAGTGAGATGCGTTAGCGTCGGCACGAGCTCAAGAGGGAAGAGTTCGTCGAACGCGCCGAGCCCGTAGCTCAGCGCAATCGACAATTCGAGCCGTGGGACAGGATTTTCGCGCAGGGCATCTGTCAGATAACCCCGATAGTGGGACCAACCGTAGTCCAGCATGGCATGTCGAATTGGGCAGCGCAGGCCGAGAACGTAGAACATTGGCACGTCGCAGACGACCAAGTCGAGCTTTTTCCAGGGTCGTAAATAATCAGGACTCTCTTCCTTCTGTGCGCTTTTGTTTGCGTTTCGAATGTCTGCATAAATGAGCGTGTCGATATCTAAGTCGAGTCGGCCGAGCGCGAGCTTCTGGTCGACCGACGGGAAAAGATGCTGTAAGTGTTCGAGGAACGGAGGGCCCGCGAAGCCCCTGACCGTAAGCGAATGCACCGCAGGATACTGAGCCATACTGCTAATCGATGCGCTTGTCACAGCCCCATGTACAGTTGCTTCCTGTGGGGTGATGAGGAGGTCACTCATCTCAAACTCCTCCAGCGCGGGGACGAGGTGAGGGAGGAACTCTTCGAGCGCGGCGGGGTGCCAGAAGTCGCTGATGATGTTGTCGCAGTCGATTACTAGCTTGCGTAGAGGCGCGCGCATTCGGCTCAGTAAACGTGGTACACCCTTCGACCTGCCCAAGATGGAAAGAGAGCGTAGGTTGGGGATCATGGAGATGGCATCTACGACGCGCCGATCGTGGGTGCATCGGCGCGATCCGTCTTCAAGAAGAACCAGTAAAGATTCGAGTCGCGGTAAAGAAGAAAGGATTTCGATGAGAAGGGATGCGTCTTCAGGTTTGTCGGTGAGCTCTTTAAGGCGACGAGCCGTCCCGATGTGAAGCGCGTGGACGTGGGGAGCACGCGCAGCGAGGTCTGCGAAGAGGAAGGAATGGAAGCGATGTACAGCTGGCCCTCCGGTAAGTGCAATGGACCGCATGGAGAGCAATCGCTGGGTCACGATATTGCGGAGAGCGGAGCAAGTGAGAGCGGAGCAAGTGAGAGCGAACGAGAGAACATCGGGGACATCTGTAAGGAACCCGCAGATAATTGCGAGTACGTCTACATTCAATCGCACAATTAATGTCATCCTGCCTGCTCGTGGGGTACCGTCTGCACAAGGAGTGGGTGTTGAAGAAGAGATCTGCGCGAGCGCCCCGGCACGCGGAATGTAAAGACAGGCGCTCGCTTGCTCGACGTGGACCACTGGACTCAGCGTCAACTTCCTGAGGCGCCCTTTATCATGATGTAGATAAAACTATAGTCAGACTTGGATACATGCTCGCAGTTCAGTGTCGTTACATGACTGAAGTCAACCTACTGTTGGTGGGCGGGCCATACTTACGAGAGGACCAGTGACATGCGCAGATACAAAGACACGATCTGACGCACACCGTTAATACCTCCCGCAATGTCCCTCAAGATGAGTTGTGAAAGAGCTCTAGCAGGATCAGCCGTGACATCGATACCCAGTCATAATATGCTACACACCAACATTCATACGACGGCGATTGAGTGGAAGTTATTGCTGCACTCCCAGGACGCGCCTTCTATGTTCGGAGTACTTGCTCGGTTACTCACTGTCCCCGCATCCCGTTCTCCGCCCCAAGACTGTGGAGCGTTGTTCAGAGCGCACAAGCGTCCAAGAAGTGATTGAAGCAGAAGAACGCGGTAGCAGTACTGGATGACGTACCTCGCTCGCCTCTTTGGTAATCAATAGCAAGACTGCAAAGGAGAGTTCTGCCGAGCGGCTGTAAAGCGTAGATCGCTCTCGGGATTCGTGACCTGCGGTACTAAGCCCTACTGGTCTGCGCGGGGAGAGGTGCAGCTTACGGGATAACATGCAAATGTCCCAGGTGAACTGAGTTTGACGGGCCATGTGATCCGTGCATCCAGGACAGTACAATTGACAGGCGTCCTGCAAGGAGACGAAATATGATTGTATGGTAGGAGCTGGAGCGGCTTACCGGATAGTAGACGCTTCTGTGTCAGTAACACATTGCATTAAGACTTGTGTCAGACCAACTAAAACGTCAGAACGAGTGGACGACAACACATGTGCATAGAAGTAGGTGCCAATACCGTACCGGCGTCATTTGGTCAGCAGTGCGCAAGGCTGGTCCATGACAAGACGGCATGAAGAGGTATAATACGACAACCACAGAAAAAAGTGAGCCGTTGACGGGTCAGATCATTGACGTCGTTGTTTGCATACCTTGCGATAACACCGTTTACAAATGCGTTCATATACATTGACAGAGAATAAGGCGAGGCATGGTCCACGAATTCACCGAGTAAGATGATCATTTGGTGGATACTGAGATCTAGGACAACCCGCAGCATCCTTTCGACTATGTAGTAGGCGATAACGGAGAATATGAAGCATAGAGGGTGCTGTAGAGTGCCAGAGCTGGTTTCTTACGCGCGGGTCGCACGGGAGATATGTGGCCCGTGTGGCGGGCGGTCAAAACGGCAACATAAACCCGATCGGCGCTCCGACTCGGTGGCTCTGCACAGTACAGAAACCTGCGACGATGACACATGACGCAGCTTCCCTTCATACAACTTGCATCTACCAGTCGGGGCTACAGGCCACACAATCTCTCAACAAGCTATCCAGCTCAGCGGAATGCGGAGATATTTCGGGTTTGTCAACTTGACAAGTCACCGCCGGTTCGCCCTCGCCGCCGCCGAGTCCTTATCGCTGGCGTACCCCGCATTCATCAAATATGAACCCTAGTCGACAGAATGTACTGTGATAGATCCCTTCAGTGACGTCTGCGCGCGGCTTCACCTGAATAGCCATGAAACTTGGCAGCTGGAATGTGCGGACAATACAGTACCGGCTGTCCGAGTCGTCGCATGGAACCACCAAGGAGGCGCGAGTGCTAGGTGCGGATGCTTCACCTAGCGCTTTATGGTTCTGCATCTCCGACGTCGACTCGAGATGATCTCTCTGCAGAGCGCAAGTCCAGTCGCGACTCTTCGGGATACGAACCCCCGGGAGCGCCTTTGTGCTTGTCTTGGGAGTTGCAATGAACTCTAGATTCCTGCTGTTCGGCCCCCGACCCAACACGTATAAGACCGACCCCGTACGGAGTGCATCTGCCTGTTCCTCAGTCTCCTCTCCAGGGACTTTTTCGCGCTTTGTCTTCATTCCCTCATCACCCTCGCCTACTTTTTGTCGTCATGCGCAGGGCTCTTGTATCTATCGTGATTGTTTCCGCCATCACCTCTGTCCTCGGTAAATGGGTCCCCTACAGTCAGCTTCAGGCCCGCGACGACAGCGCGTTATTGAGCTGCCTGAAGAGTAAGGGCCTTGACCCTGTCGTTCAGGGCAGCCCCAACTATACCAGTGACTCCGCGCCATTCAATCGCCGGTATGTGTCTTAATAAGCGATACGGAGTAAGAGACCATGACTGACTCCTCTTCGTGTCCTCAGGCTGCACTGGAAGCCCGTCGCGATTGTCTATCCCGAGGATGCGAAGGGCGTCTCCGCCGCCGTCAAGTGTGCAGCTCAAAACCACGTCAAGGTCAATGCCCGATGCGGAGGCCACTCCTGTACGCCTCTCTCCGTTATACTTAACGATCATCTCGAACCATAGCTCACAATATGTAAGATGCCGCGTTCGCGCTTGGTGGCGAGGATGGTCACTTGACCGTCAGTCTCGACAAGCTCCGCCACTTGTCTCAGAGCGGCAACACGTCCACCATTGGAGGAGGCAACCACCTCGGCGACGTAGCGCTCTACCTCTGGCAAAATGGTAAGGCCATTTCCCGGACGTCCAATCATGACCGCACCTTTTTCTACTCTTGTCTCACTGTCCTGCTACTTGACAGGCAAGCGTGCAATGGCCCATGGTACCTGCCCCTACGTCGGTATTGGTGGTCATGCGGGCCAGGGCGGCTTCGGTCTTCCCTCCCGCGCCTGGGGGCTACTCGCCGACCAGGTGCAGTCGCTCGAGATCGTTACCGCGGACGGCCAGATTCGCAATGCATCCCTGAAGGAGAACGCAGACCTCTTCTGGGCGGCGACAGGGGCTGGCGCTTCGTTCGGCATCATCACGTCCTTCACTACCGTGACGCGCCCAGCTCCCAACTCGACTGCATTTGCTTATGAGTTCAAGAACTATACCTACAAAGAAGCGAGCGCTGGGTTGCAGGCGTGGCAGGCGTTTGCGAGCAATTCGACGAATAAGCTCGATCCCAATGTTGGGCTCCAGATCCATGTGGACCCTAATCCCTCCGCACCCCACGGAGTTGTCTTCAGCGTCTCTGGTGTCTACTGTGAGCGGCCAAGCTGTTCTTGTTCTTGCTTGGACGTGCCATTAACAGGAGTTACGTGGCAGACGGTGCCGACAAGGCCAAGGTGAACTCCACCTTCGCGCCTCTACTCAAGAAGCTCGGCACTCCCACGTCCATCCTGCTCCAGGAGCAAGACTGGATCACCTCAGTACTCCATCTCGCTGATGCGAAGAACATCTCGCAGCTCAACACGACTCTCGCGTCGGACACCCACGACTACTTCTACGCGACATCGACGTTCATCTCTGAACAGAGGCCGATGGTCCAGGCTGCATCTGACGCGCTCTTCAAGTACTTCTACGGCCCCGGCACAAACACGAGCATCAAGTGGTTTGCCATCTTCGACCTGTATGGTGGCGGAGACTCGGCCATCACAAAGGTCGGACCGGACTACAATGCCTTCAACGCCCGGGATGCATTGTATTCGATCCAGTACTACGGCACGATCCCCCATGGGACCTCGGACAGGGCGGGGATAGACTTTATCCAGGGTATAAAGAAAGCCGTAGAGAATGACACAGTACCGAAGACGCAGTTCAAGGAGTATGGTGAGCGCCATGCTACTCTGCAATCGTTGATTGCACCGGTTTCTGAAGCTATGGGATGCGCAGTCAACTACATCGACAGCGAGTACTCGGCGGAGGAGGCCCACGCCCGCTACTACCCCACGCACTCCGCCAACCTCACAGCGCTCAAGAACAAGTACGACCTCAATCGCACTTTTCACTTCCCTCAGGACTTCTGAAGGGCTGGTACGAAGGAGATTCAATCGTTGCTGCAGGCATTGGTTCGAGACAACCCGACGTGTGGTATAAGTACGGGCGATGGGTGCTAATCTTCTTATGTTGGCCGACAAGAGAGTCAAGGAGAAGTCTCGCTGTGTGATGAATACGTGACATGCTTTCTTGCTTCTATGATGCTATCAGCGTTCAAGTCATATTACACTGCCTCAGTGGGCACTGTTCTTCGTCACTATGTAGACTTTGGTCGTAAATCTGTTGTCCGACTATGCTCCACATACATACGACGATTAGTTCGGCTCGGGTTGCCACAACTCGTGACCTCCGGTGTGGTTAATCTCATCTTGAAGAGATAGGAAGAGCTCTTCTTGCTCCATAATCATCTCTGCAAAAGCCTCGTCCAGCTCGACCAACGACGACTCGGACTGGCTTTCGCGCGCATTGTGCGCCCACAGCCCCGCAACGCGCCAAGCCCGAGAGATGAGCCAACGCTCGGATACCCTCCACGTATATACCCATTCGTCATCGCTGCTCTCACGGTCTGCGAGGAACCCTCTAGTGGTCAGAAAGACGTAACGGGCGGATGTGAGTACGCCAGCAAGTGATAAAGCGGCTTTCTCAAGTCGAAGGGCAGGGTCGCGGAGAGCCTGTACAAAGTCTTCGGAGCATGGGAGCCGACCGTATAGTCCCGAGAACGGGTGGCGAATATCGGCTTGGATGACAATGCGGAGATGAGTGAGATGGTGGAGAGGAAGAACGGTTTGAAGGAGCCTTTCCTGTGGGGTTCGAGTTAGTACATGCATGACTTTACGCTGTTCCGTAAGCCGTCTGAGTCGGAAACAAGCGCCTCACCATTAGATGATCCCATTGAAGGGTCGCAATGGCATGAGCGTTCGCTGGGTAGTGCAGTCCGTAACAGATGTTCGAGTAGTCGATACAGAGTGTGAGGTGCGTCAGTGTCTCCGCCAGTTCTGGCGGGAATAGCTCGTCGAAGACACCCAAACCATCGTGGAGCAATAGTGATACTTTAAGCCGCGGTGGAGGGTTTTCACGAAGTGCCTGCGTGGCGAAGGTGCGATGGTCGAACGAGCAAGCGTCGAGCGATACGAGCCGGATGGGACAGCGCAGCGCAAGAATGTAGAACAGTGGTATGTTGCAAATCAGCTGGTCGAGTCTCTTCCATGGATGTTTATGCGATTCACTGTCGCCTTCTTGTGCCCGCTGATTGGCGGCGCGAATATCCACCCATCGGTCTTCAGGGATAGGTAAATCGGTGAAGGTTGCACAAAGCACCCTGTCAAGAGCGGGGAACAAATATTGGAGGTGCTCAAGCAACGGGTGGTGGAAAAAGTGGTTGATCGTGAGCGACCGAAGGGCAAGGTATTGCGTCCGGTCAGATAAGCTCGTATTCTCATTGAAGTCGCTGTGATCGAGACAGAAGTCGTTCACGTGGAGCTCCTCGAGAGTCGGCGCAAGGTGAGGAAGGAACTTCTCGAATGCAGCTGGGTGCCACCAATCGCCCTTGAGGTTGACAAACAGGACTCCCAGTTTGCGCAAGGGCGCACGGATCCGTGCGACTAGCTCGGGTAGGGCAGGCGACTCCCCGTCAATGTTAAGCGCGCGCAGGGTGTGCAGCTGGACAAGTGCATCGAGCACACGGAGATCGTCGACACATCCGTTGGGTGTCCTGTGGAGCGTGATTGACAGTGACAGTTCATATAAGCAGGGTGTGGAGGAGAGGATGTCGAGGAGGAGAGGTGTATCCTCGGGATCGTAAGACGATACTTCACCCTCATCAAGATTGGGGCTGTCGACGGTTAAAGCGCGGACATAGGGTGTGCGCGCGGCGGCGTCGGAGAAGAGAAAAGAGTGCAGACAGCGTAGGGATTTGCTACTGGAGATGACAACAGGGGCCATGGATAGCAGTCTCTGGGTTGCAACGGGGCGGACTGCAGAGCATGTGAGCGAAAAGGAGAGGACATCGGGCTTATCTGTGAGAAAGTCGCAGACAACAGCGAGCACTTCTGCGTTCAGGTGTCTGGCGACCATCTCGTCTTACGAGCAAGCTTTTATGATGCACGGATTGAGTGCAGAATGGAAGAGCAGAATTGAGTGCCGCTGAGAGGACGGTGCAGCATACATATCCCAAGCGCCGACCAAAATGCGGCACCGACCCTCGCGGGCGCCCTAGGCTAGCGCTCGAGTCAGCTTCGCACAAGCCGCCCACGCCTCCGAGCTGTCCCAGATGGACGGAGACCATCGCTCGCGGTCACCACTGGCACCTTGTCGCCTGCGTGGACGGTACATGAGGCCCAGCACCAACGACGTCCGAGTCGAGACTCACTGGCAGTACTCGACGGTACTCAGCTTCCGTTTCATGGCCCTCCTTCGCTTCTGAATGCTCACGCCTGCAGGTCATCTGTAGATTACAGTCACCCTATAAGCAGACCACTCTGCATGGTTTGTCGAAGCACTGGCACACCTCGGTGCTCCCACCCTTAACGCTAGCGCTCCACTACATACGGCACCATCACGGCTATTCGTTGAAGAGTCCCTGAAGCGTCAAAGCTCAGTCATACTCTGTACATCAAGGTACGAGCAGAGACGGGGATCATCGCTGCACAACCTCAAGCATGAAAGCGTGCTCCGCACGGCTGAACAGCTTCTCGCTATTCCCGCGCTCCATCCCTCTCCCTGCGCGCGTTCATCAACAAGACCGTCCTAGCCACACTTGAAGCAGAAGGACGTACTGCCGGGGCCAGCTGACATACCCGGTTGAGCCTGTGCGGGATGGCTCTCTAGGCTGACTAGATTGTTGGCCGAAGTTCCGAACTGCCGTAAAATGTAGGTGCTCAGGCTGTGGGCAGTGGTGACCCTTACAGCCGTTTGCAAATCAAACTGCAGTCGGCGCGCGCGCCGCGGGCCTGTTTGCCCTAAGGCTCGACGCACGCGCGACTGCAGTTTGATATGCAACCGACTGTATGGCTCGCGGCGCCAGCATACGGGGTGCATCAGGCTGCGGTGGGCGCGGGAGAAGGCGCCCCGAGGTGCCGAATATGAGATGGCGCGCGAAGTTACCTAGTGGTTCGAGCTTGGGCGTCCTGTGTCGCATTGACGTCCTGCAAGGCAATTACAAGTCATCGCATTGTCAACAATTAAGAGCTGAGACAATGAGGGAGCATGAGATGGCCAGAAGGCATCGAGAGGTGTTGTAATGGGCCAAAGATGACGCTTCTTACTGTAGTATCTTGAGGTGTACGACATCCCGTTTCTGCCTCCGCTCCCGGGACTTGGGCGCAAGGTACAGTAGTGACCTTCACATATAGAGGTTATTCTCGGACGTGACATGCCCGATAACAGTGAAATACTGGCGGGATATGTGCCGGCATCCCGCGACGTGGACGTCATGCTTGGCCCCGGGAGGCGAACGGTCTCGCGCGGCCATTTCCGTGCCTAGCAGGTGCCTAGAGAAGTTCATACTCTAGAGCTTCGCAAGTATCCTGCTTGATAGCTAGAGTCAATAGGAATATGGGGACTTGGAGTTGGAGTCAAAGCCGCGTGCCGGATAGAAGACGTCCCTGGTTCAGTAAACTTTTGGATCTCCGAGTCTTGCAAGGGGCTGGGGCTATTTGCCACAGCGAGTGGTTGAGGAGGTGCGCTCGTAGAAAAAACGTCCTGAACCGACATAGTTTGGTTTAACATCCAATAAGGTCTGATTAACTTACGCGATCCCCGCAATGTGACCGTCCTCATGTGCAGTTGGATTGATGGCGCATTGCATTAATCTCGATGAGATTAGGTTGAGCCTGCAGGTTTCCAGTCGTCCGGACTCCAAGACCACTGCCACGTGAATGAAGTCCCGGGCGAGCGACGAACATCAGAACGCAAGACCCGTATGAGGAGGCGGCACAGCGAGGATTAAGCGATATAGATGTCGTATTGTTTGTAGGGAGTCACAAGAAACCTGAATTTCCGCTGGGAATGAGGTTAGATCTGGAGCGGTGAGCAACGAGGTGGCGTGAAGTCATCTCACATGGGTTCCAGCTGACATCAACGTGAGCTCACTACTGATCATGTCATCAATGGTGTCCCTTGTAGCACTCCAATGTGAAGAACATGTTCGCGTACAACGGCTTATAACACTGAGAACGAGGTCAGTCGGAAGTCACCTTGAGGGCAGTTTGCGACATATCATTAACATCCAAACATATAAGCTAGATCGTGTGGGCTCCGTCAAGGGCAAGAGACGAAGTACAATACATCGTGGGCGGAGCAGTCTGAGGGCAGACGAAAGCCTTGCGGGGCGAGGGCGGCTAGATCCGCTAAGAGATCGCCAAACAGTAAAATGCGTTTGCTTCCGATTAGCGCGGGCTGGCTCTGCTCCCAGCATTTGAGAGAGGATCTCTCCACCAAGCTAACCCACGCACGACATAGTTTCTGTCCGCCAGACATGCTATGAACGAGGTATCCAGGAGTGTGGAATGCCGGGAAATGTCTGACTTGGCCAGTACTCTCCGAAGCCTAATCGACGTTCGTACCCGCTGCTTGTCATTACGTCTCTCTCCCGGGTGTAACTCCTATCCCATCGGCGGGTCCCAAGTAGCGGTCAGTACTAGCGTTATCGTCACCTCCTGTGCTGAGCTAAGTGCCTGATCATGCGGCTCTTTATTGGTCCCCCGTGGGGAGGCTCTCAGCCATTGCCTCTGCGACCGAACAACCCCTTGATCCTCCATTACCAAACATCCGTCTCACAACTCATACCATTAGTAGCCCCTCTTCCGGTCAATGTCCGCCGTCCCCGCTGACAGCCCTCTAATGTCATGTCGGAAATGCGACATAGCTTCCTCCCGTCGTTTGTCATCGCGGCCGGACTGCCCTCGCCGAACCTGTCACCGGAGTGTCCAATTTCAAGCTTGAACGCCCGGTCCAAGTGAGGACCATCGCCCTAAACGCCTCTAAGCCCGCCGCCTCAATGTGTACGTGCGCTGAGACAACCAAACAGCCTCAGAGCTTGGCCCCTCTGACGATGAATAGACCGGTCGTCGGCTACGCGAAGGCGCTAATTTCCCGATCTGGCATAGTTCGTTCAGAAAGCGCTTCAGCCTTGACGCACTCCGACACCACTCTCCAGATCGCAGCGTCCCCCCGGATCTTTTGCATTGCCTTCCAGAGCTGTGCTCTAGCCAGTGCGTAAGTAAAACTCGTTTCAGGGGCTGCAACAAACTCTAATCAGCAATCTGCAAGTATCTACCGGCGGCAAGCGCATACTACACACATATAAGAGCATCATTGATCAGCGTACGAGGTGTGGGTTCGTCTGCCCGTCTCCTCAGTCTCGGCACTTGTCTGACCTTTCTTTTTCGTGTTCTATCCCTTTCGCCTTCTTTGTGCCATCATGCGTGGGGGCCTCAGGTCTTTCATCGTTCTTTCTGCAGTTTCTTCCGCCTTTGGTGCATGGATTCCCTACAGCCAAATCAAGAACCGCGGCGAGAGCGCATTCTTGAATTGCCTGGAGAGTGCGAACCTTGACCCCGTCGTCCAGGGTGATTCCGACTATGCCACTGACTCATCGCCGTTCAACCTCCGGTGCGTCCCAATAAGCTGCACTCAACGAACGAGTCCTTTGACTGATACCTTTTTCCGCCTGCTCAGGCTTCAATGGAAGCCCGTTGCGCTTGTCTATCCCGAGGATGCTAATGGCGTCTCTGCTGCTGTTCAGTGTGGAGCTGAAAACGGTGTCAATGTCAATGCGCGAAGCGGAGGCCATTCCTGTAAGTCCTTTTTCGCTGTGTCTGATGCCTGAGTCCGTTTGTTGTGTCGAGCCATAACTTACGTCTGGTTAGACGCCGCCTTTGCGCTTGGTGGAGAGGACGGCCACTTAACCGTTAGCCTCGACAAGCTCCGACACCTATCACTGAGCGGCGATACGGCTACTATCGGCTCAGGCAACAAACTCGGCGATATTGCGCTCTACCTCTGGGAGAATGGTAAGTTCAATCACATCCACCACCATAACACCCTCGTGTGACCGTCCTCCTATCTGTTGCTATCTAACCTTCGTCATATGACAGGAAAGCGTGCAATGGCTCACGGTACCTGCCCTGAGGTCGGTATCGGTGGCCACGCTGGCCAGGGCGGCTTCGGTCTCGCTTCCCGCTCGTGGGGCCTGCTCGCCGACCAGGTGCAGTCGCTTGAGATCGTCACTGCGGATGGCCAAATTCGCACAGCCTCCCCAACAGAGAACCCCGATTTGTTCTGGGCAGCGACGGGTGCTGGGGCGTCGTTCGGTATTATCACGTCGTTCACGACCGTGACTCATGCGGCGCTCGATTCTATCGCGTTTGCGTACACGTTCGCGAACTACGGCGCCAAGGAGGCCAGCAACGGCCTGCAGGCGTGGCAGACGTTTGCGAACGATGCTGTCAACAAGCTTGACACGGCTGTCGGGCTTCAGATCCATATCGACCCTGGAGACACCGGCGTCGTGTTCTCTGTCTCTGGCGTTTACTGTGAGTGGCGGTTCTGATTGCTTTTCTTTGAGACATGCTGCTAAACCTCATGTGCTGCAGACGGTGTCAATGAGGCCAAGGTCAACTCGACCTTTGCGCCTCTCCTTAAGAAGCTCGGTACTCCCTCCGACATCTTCCTTCAGAAGCAGGACTGGATTACCTCCGTGCTCTACCTTGCCGGCGTCGACAGCATTTCGCAGCTGAATACGACGCTTACTCCAGACACCCATGATTACTTCTACGCGACGTCGACGTTCGTATCTGCGAAGGAGCCGATGACCCAAACTGCTTCAGACGCTCTTTTCGAATACTTCTACGGTCCCGGCTCGGACACTTCTGTTGAGTGGTTTGCGATCTTCGACCTCTATGGCGGCGGAGATTCGGCCGTCACTAAGGTCGGCCCGGACCACAATGCGTTCAACGCACGCGATGCACTATACTCAATTCAGTACTATGGCACGATTCCCAATGGTACTGTCTCGGACGCGGATGGAATTGCGTTCATCCAGGGTATGAAGAAGGCAATCGAGAGCGGCATGCCCTCGACGCAATTCAAGGAGTATGGTGAGTGCAGGTCTGCCTTGCAATGACAATTCAGGATGGATACTGAGGTGTGTGTTTTCGTAGTCAACTACATCGACAGCACGTACTCGGCGGAGGAGGCGCACAAGCGCTACTATCCCACGCACACTGCCAATCTCACGTCGCTCAAGGACAAGTACGACCCGAACCGCGTCATACACTTTCCTCAGGACTTCTAAGTGGATTTAAGAACATTACGCTTTGACGTACTCGGGGCGCTTGGACTCGAACTCGATCCCGTAGTCTCGGACTCTGATATCGGTTGGCAGGGTATCAAGGGAGGACTACCACGTAATGCATAACATCAGGGACTCACGATCTTTATCCTACAATGGACTAATAGACCTCTATAATTCGCGACTTACTGTACTATTCCGCATTTTCTGTACAGATATCTTCGTTGGTATCATGCACGTAGGATACGGACTTGTAGTTAAACCGTTCGGACTTAACGCATAATGATAGTCTCACTGTCCTTCGCGTGTAACTTGCGTCCTTTCTTAATCTTACATTGACGTAGAGCCACAGTGGCCTCCGCGGCCATAGCATCATGACCCGGTAACATAGGGACGCTGTACATATTGGGTGCGGCGACGATGGGACATGGCAGTGTAGACGCTGAAAGCTTCTCCGCTTGACGCCATCGGAGGCCTAGTAGGTGAGACAGCTACCGTGCTATGGGGGGGCATCTTTCAGTGGAAGCAGATGCGTCTGCACAGGAAGTGCGCCTCCATAACATCAGCAGAATTCTCACGTAGCAGACGGCGCATGACATACGACTAGTTGAATTCGATTTGGGACAGCAGATGAGTATATGGTCAGCTCCAATAGGAAGTCGAAAAGTCCGGCCACACTGTAACACTGGGGTCGAATTACAGTGCACAAGAAGTACACGGAGAAAGAGAGATCTCTTGTACCGCGCATGGGTCAGAATCGCGCGCCATGACTACCACCGCTCAGCAGCACTCGTATACATTGGTGACACTCGGGTTACCTTCAGCACCCTGACTTCGCTCTTCGTGGCATTCAAGTGAACGCCTTGGAATGTGTTTAGCAGAATTGCGGTGGACCTGTGTCTGTGATGGAAACTCTTTATCAGCCCTGGCGGTCACGTACTCATCAGTATGCGAAAAGACCTCACCTCATCGGGACCGGCCGATGTGATATCTTCTCCGGAAACTCTGGACGATATGTAGCCCACCAATCCGAACGTACCAATATCATTCTTATGCCTGAATCGCTCGGACAGTGAAGTCCTGGAGTTCAAACTGTCCGCAGAAGCCGTTAGTAATGCGATATGTAGTGAGAACAGAAAGCCTCAACGTACACCGCCAAGACAGAGGCTGAGTACGCTGTCGAAGATATCTGCGTGAGATGACTCCAGGATGAGCGACTCGGAGATCATACCCCTTGCACCCGGGATCAGGACTCCGAGGAAGACGTCGGTTTCAGGAAGAATAATCAGCTTGTCACGCACATCGGCCTCAACTTCTGCGGGAGAAAGCTGACCGGATGACTCACAAATATCATGCTGAGCATGAGGAGGCCACTGTGTCGCATTTGTCAAGGCTGCATCCATGAATATATGGGCTGAAGGAGACACCCAGTCAAGGCACCTGGAATATGGGGACCTGTCAATATCAGAGTGGATGTTCAGCTAGGGGAAGATATCTTACAGGTGTTCACAGTGTAGACGATGAGCGTATCGAGGAGCGAGTTTGTGCTGTGTGGGAAGTGAGGCTTCTGACTTGTAGCCGACAGGAAACTTGAGACAAACCTTCTGAAATCACTCCGCGCGCAACGCAGAATCCAAACGAGAGTACTCGCGAGGAAGAAGTCGGTCACAAAACCTATTGACAGGCCCACAATATTGACATGCTGCCACTACATATAGTCACGGCAACGGTATAACATTGAGTGGTCGCACGCCTGGTTAGTCTTCGATTACGTGCCTGCCACACCTTGCCGTTAGGCATCATGACTCACCAATGACAAGTGGAGTTCTCCAGAGAATACAGGTCCGAGCCCGGATCTGGCACTCTCTTGTCAGCTGCACGCTAGACTGCTGTACCTTGAGGACTCAAACTTGCGACACTGCGGAGGATGCTAGATGTTCCTGTCAATAATGGGAACGAAGCGCGACCAAGAGGAACGTATATCACGGACCGACGGCAAGGCCTTCGAGAATAGTGCGAGTCTTAGTCAGTTTGAATGGATTTGGAGGGATCACGCGTACATACCTACTTCTACCAGCATCAAGATGGCCTGACGCATCTTCAGCAACCGTTTCGAGGAATGAAAACCCGAACTCACGACAAGAGGCAGTATAGGACGGAAGCCGCGATTCACTGAAATCCAAGGGAATGCATGATGCCATGGGGTCTGAATAAGAACGGTGCTAGGACGCACTCATGAAGATCCGCCGGACATAAAACCTTAGCCCAAGGGTGGTTAGTCTGAAGTTACGAGCGCACTCCAGAAAGACAGCCTACCCTTGTGCCACCATGGCAGTGGCGCCCTGGTGTTAGGCATTGCACCTCAGCTTACTAGCTATGTGAAACGGATGTGTGACTTACGGAAGATAGCGGCAACGTCTAGGGACAAAAGAAGCGCATTTTATGATGCCTTCCGCATGTAAGCTGATGAGACGCATCAATATGAACCTATTGAGAAGAGGCCAGTGAGGATTCTTGACAGCCTCGCATCACTGAATTGTCACTTCGCTCACCAGTTCCTAATGAATAGCCCAGAAGGGTTGGAAGAGTCTGAGATTAGATAGTGGTACCTGCGATGTTTTGCATCAGGGGTCTCAATCGGGTCAAAAGATGGCCTACATGATTTGCGAAACTTGCACCATGTGCAGCGTATCCAGGACACTGGAGAAGGATGTGAGACATCCGGAATTGCAACCGTTCTAGTGGTCGGTCCACTCACAGTAGCACTATGACCTAAGACAAGAGGATGTCGGTGCTCAGCCTCGCGTACCGGCAAGCAGCACAAGATATACCATAGCCTTCAAAGACCAGCTATCGGCTGAATGCACTCGAAAGTATCGGTACGCTTGCTGAAGGTTCGATCCGTACCTCCTGAGGTTGTCAAATCAGCTGAATTAGAGTAGGTATATAGTTGGATCACTCACGCTAGTCCAACACTGTAGCCTACAAAAACGGCGCCGAGCGTGTCATCTAAGCTAGAAAGAGATGCCATCAGCTCTGAGGCTTGACAGCCGTTTTAGACTTCTAGGCTGGAGCCACGACTATGAGGTGGAAGATGCCCCTAACACTAACTCACCGACGCTCTTTATACGACGACTTGGAGCCTATGCAATCTTTCTGATCGCTGCTGGAAGCTATGCTACGGTGTCTTGTAAGTTGCGAGAGCAGGGCTCGCAAATGTATAAGACCGGTAAGGGGTATCAGCTGCATATCATCCGCTGGCCAGAGAAGGAGATGGAGGACTCACTGATCAGTCTATGGCAACGCGAACTGAGCCCATCTAGCACATATGAAGCGCAGGGCACTGGAGTCGACCTCCCATGTAGAAGGGGGGGTGCTACAAGGAAGTGGTGAGGTTGATTGTTGGGCATCTAGAGCGAATATAGCAGTTGGCAAGTTGGAGCAATTGTCTTAGCCACGTTCAGTCTGCGTGCCGACGGCAGACTGAGAACTAGGGCTATCAGTGTTCTTGGGATGGAATAACACGTTTTCGGTATAGATTGCCGCCAAATGATGTACTGACCGTTGTGGATAAAAGTCGGCAGACCGGGTTAGATCTGAATACCGCGGGCCATTGTGCCTAGCGTCGGAGCTGTCAACTCGTACCACCACCAGCGACAACTTTCCCACGGTCGTCAGCCAATAGGAGCGGGCTACGCCGTGCGGTCAGTTCTCTCTCTGGGCGACGCACTAGTTTATATCGAACGCTATACACATACTAATAGCAGAATGCCGCTGGAACCTGTCAGACGAGGAGGAACAGCATCGCCACAAGTTACCTCGCGGTCGAAGAAGACGTCGGCGCCAGTACCGGCGGGCGCACCGCCCGCAAGGCAGATGCGGCCCCCAACCGAAGACACATTTACGGCAGCGTATGGGAAGATCAAGACGATAGAAGACGCTCTGAGTGTGTTGCGCAGGCATGAGATGGTACCCGCAGCAGGAGACCCTACGGCTGAAGGACTAATTACCGGGCGTTCTTGCACGTGGGAGTAGCCCTAGTGGGCAAGAACGAGTGGGCGGCGGAATGCTGCATTGGGCTGGCGGTATACGCAAAGACAGTTATAGAGGGCGCGGTGAGTGAAT